AATCTGCCCATCGAGGAATGGCCCGCCCAGGCAGTGAAAGTCTTGATTGCTCTGGCCGTCTATTGTACATTTGGACTGCAGTTCTATGTGTGCCTGGAGATTGTTTGGGATGGCATCAAGGAAAAGTGCACCAAACGTCCCACATTCGTCAATTATGTGCTGCGGTAAGCTATCATATTAAAATCGCTTTCAAATTATGCTTGTACTTATACTAAACTTGTTAATTCTCTTGTAGCACTGTTCTGGTTACTGCCGCTGTAGTGCTGGCCATCTCAGTGCCTACTATAGCACCATTTATGGGTCTTATTGGCGCCTTCTGCTTCTCCATACTCGGTCTGATCTTTCCGGTAAGTGCTGATCTTTTAACTCTAAATAACTGGCTTAATACTTAAATATTCTCAAAATAGGTAATTATTGAGCTTGTCGTGCATTGGGATTCCGGCTTCGGTGCAGGCAAATGGATACTGTGGAAAAACATAATCATCATCTTGTGCGGCATTGGCGCCCTTGTCTTTGGCTCTCATTCTGCCATCAAGGACATCATGAAGGTTTACAGCACAACCACAGAAGCCCAATAAATGGTTTCCTTTTGGCTTATCCAAACATATATATGGGAACTTGGAAATAATCTCCGGTGCATAACACACAAAAACCGTAATGCAAGAGTGCTATACCAAGGGATATATATTTATTATATACACTATTTGTATACATTTGAGGAATATACTTTTTAGCATAGTCTGTAGCGCTGCAGGAGCCAGCCGGGAGTAGCTCCTGTTTATTTCCTAGAGATCTAACTATTGTTAGATGTAAAACTGCGCCCACACTTTGTATATTTTTCGTTAAAGCGCATTACTAAACTAGTACCCTTAGGTTAACTATATTCGAGTGCCTAACCAAATAGCACACAGCACCAAACTGTCCGTTTTTGCACGTTTTAGTACACATGCAAATGCAGTTATATATATATATATATATATTTGTTGAGTACATTTTAGTACCGAATCTAAACAGTTAACTAGCTTAAACTCTGCTACTTTAAACTAAAATCGAAGATGCAAATGATTCTGAAACACACACACACACACACACCCACAAACATTTTACTTTGACGTTTGTTCATATTAGTATCAAGGTAAAAAAGACTTTTAGAGCACTTTCTTTTCACCCCTCTCTGTTCTAAAAGAGTATTATGAAAAAACCAAAATTGCAATCATTTATTATTTTTGTTTGTTGCAAGCACTTGCAACATATTTTTTTAGCATGTTTAGTTTATAAGCAACAGGATTTGGTTCTAGGTTCCTAAAAGCTTTGCAAGCCATTCAAAAAAGTTTTTATTTTTGTATATACATTTTGCAGGCTTTTCGGAGCCCAGCCAGAAAAAAAAAAAGAAAAACAAATAGCCATATCGGCGATGAGTTACTCAAATTATATTTTTTTATACATAATTATGTAGTATCAATTTCTAAAAAAGAAACAGAGGAAAAACTGGAAAATTGGAAAATTATTCAATTACGCGATATTCTTAATGCACACTACATTTTTGTTGCTTAACATTTGTATTTTTAATATAGAAAATTAAATAAAAACTATTGAATATTAAAAACTCATACAACTACTACAAAACAGCACCAAAAGACACCGAAAAAGAATCGAATTAAAAACAGTTTTTGCATTTAAACGTTTGTGCACTGAAAAACAACGAAGCTGATTTAACTGTAAAGCGAAAAGTTAACTTTTATATTAGGTCTTTAAAGACGGTAGATCTGTCAATTGTTCAGCTAGACGAGATCGAGATTTATATAGTTTATATGCTATATACATGCAAAGCTGTTGGAAATTATCCAGTTCTTTATATTGAAGACTATTTGGAATTGAAACTTGTCCATATTACGTATTGATGAAAAGAGCTAAGATTGATGTAATTGTTTACTTTTTGAAAAGTGTTTAAATTTCAAACAAAACAAGCCCGGAAAATTATCATAATAAAAATGTACCATAAAATAAACACTTGTTAAATTTCAGACTTGAGCACTTAAGAATGTTGAAGTCGATTGTGATCGACTGAGCGATACCCTGTGCGTAGCTTAAATCCGGTTAAATACTGAATGCTTGCAATTTTGATTGTTCGATTACTTGATCAATATCAGAGCATTGTCTGAAATTGATTACCTTTAAGACTTGGTAGACAGCAGCACGTGGCGCAAGGTACCCAAAATCGTGCATTAATTGGACTGTGTTGTGATTCTCAAATTGATTTGCCACAGTTGAGCTATCAGTAGGTCCCACACAATATCTGATTGCGAATTTCATTGGAGACGGTCAAAGCAGTTGGCATTTCAAGCAATTGAACCTGCCTATGGGCCAATTCAGGTAACCTCCGAGTCAATGCGCTTGCGACGCGCTCTTGAGGCCATTGCCGGCCCACTCAATCAATGGCGCTGGAGGTCTGGAGAGCGGATCGTGTTATTGGCTTGTCATATTTATGCGACAGTTTCGAAAGGCTTTGTTTGTTCGTTGCCGTGCAGACGTGGGAATGTCTAGGTAATCCTTGACTCAATGCTCGCAGCGCAAGCGTTACCAATTTGTAACGGATTGCAGAAACCCTCCAGGAAACCCGCTGCCTCAACCAATTAGCGCATGACAAGCAGCAGCGAACTCGAGAGACAACAATAGTGCCCGACCACAAGATGACTTGCTACCAATTCAGTGCATACCACAAGCTGCCCACTACGCGCTGACCATTTGTCTGGGGCCAGCTGTGGCTGTTGTGGCCAAGGTCGACGGCGATTCAAAATAATTAATCTCTTAATTGTCATCAGCATCGTCTCGTCAATGGGATGCTGTGTGCACGCTGATGTTGCATCTTGCTTTCATTCCATGGCGCCAAGGTCAGCTGGGGCAGCAATAGAAGCTCGCCAGAAGCTGCTGCTCCGTTTTGTGGTTAAGGTTTCCGCTCGTGTAATTGGTAATGTAAAACCATTTTGGGCCATTGTGTAACCCGCGATAATTACAATTACCTTTACAAGAGCTGCTTTGTGCATCGCATTTCAAATGTTCAAAAGTCTTTGGCTGCGGCTCTTTTGTAGGCCATTCTTATCGAGACTATCTGCATAGAAACTTTCACCAACTTGGTATACTCTTAACGTGCATAAATACATTTCGTATGATTGTCTATGAACTGTCATTTTTATATGACATGCAATTGGAATTTTAAGTGCAGACGCTTGGGAGACTCTCAAGTGCTCGAATTCATAGTTATGAATACGGATCGAAACGTGTTTAGCTAGCATTTCGGAAGAGCGAACTTCCCAGACCACTAATCATTTCACTTTCACAAGCCTTTCAAGGTCCAAAAAAAAAAACGTAAAACAACCCCATCAATTTTCTAGCAAAGCAATCGAATGAAAACAAAAATTAAAACCCTTCAGCAGCCAAGTGCCTGAGCAAGAGCCACATAAATTATACAAATACTTATTATAATAACAAAAACAATCAATAAATTTCAAAACATTATAGAAAATTGTTGACTGAAGCGCAATCAACAACAAAATACAAGTGTACACAAAAACAAAAGCCCAAAAACAATGGCATTCACTTTCAAAAGAAGGGGAACAAAATAACAAAACGATTGACTACAAAATTGCCCAGTCCGAAAAAAAAAATGAAATAAAATAAAAACTATTGTAATTATGCATAACAAAGATATTGGCAAGCCAAATATTGAAAGTCTCAAGTGAAGTAGCGCATCCAATCGACCCGGGCGATTGAGTTCATCATCAACGCCAACTTGGCCAGCTTAACAAGAAGATTAATTAATTACTTTGTTCAAAATATGTTTGTAGTTTTTTTTATTGTTGGGCTTAAACAAATGAAGCGCAAAATATTAAATGGCAACTAATTTGGCAGTCGAGCTTTAAAGTAAAAGCCATAGGAAATGTCTGTAGATCGCTCAACAAATTTGCAGCCGCTTATACCCTGTAATTCAAATCGGGTACAAAGTGGGAGTTTGAGGTACAGTTTCCGAGGTGTGATTCTAAGTTTTATATTTATTGTCTCGTTAATCTAACAAACTTGATGCCTGTTCATGTAGTTCTTGTAGTTCACTCTCATTCAGGGGGACCCGTCGGAGAACTTACTCTGTTCTTCAGTAATTTATATATACATATAAACTCAAGTCGGTTTCACTCATATTCATAGATGACAATATAATACTCTTGAGTATATATAAATGTACTTATAATTAAAAAGAATTATATGTTAAAGTAACTCAGACATCGACTAGCTTTATCCCCTGACATAAAGTATATCCTTTTATAATATCGAACATTTTTAAAATTATAATTTTAACAGGGTAGAATTAGGCTGATCATGAAATTGAGATGCATCTGTGAGATTTTTTGTAACTTCCCCATTATCCAAAAACTGGAAGGGATATCTGTCCGTCTGACTATGTAGCTCTTACTATTTTGTATTTTGGGCAATCTTCAGATTATGGCAGCAACAACATGATGATGACTGTCGTGCCAGGCAACCACGTGATGTTTGCAGCTTGCTGAGTGTTGTTGTTGTCGTCGTCGTCGTCTTCGCCAGCAGCAGCAGAGGAAAGAGCAGAGGCAACAGCAGAGGGCACCTGGTGTTGGGCACCCGCCACAGATCAGCGCGCTTTGTGCATTTGCATTCATTATGTTTGGCACCGTCGTCGCGACCACAACGCCACCGCACAACGCAGTTGCTCCTCTCGCAGCTGGAAGATCATCGACAGACAGCAACGATTGTCAATCCGTTGGATTCTTAAGCTCATTTTCAGCACGTCATTCAATTTCGGCGAGTGTGTGTGTGTGTTGCAATTTTTGGCGCATTGAAAAATATGTTTGAAATGTGGATTTGTGTACCGAACTGCTAACACTTGTTTGCTGAGAACTAGAGTTGTGCCAGGTCGATTGACTTGACCTTTAGCTGAAATTCTTTTGAAATTGTTTGTGAAAAATCAACTGGAAATGTTGTCACCATATGTCTGGCACATCATTGTGCTGCTCAGTCTGAGCGCTGCTGTCTTTAGCGAAGAGTCCAGATATGCGGAACGCAACCACAAGGTGGGTAGGTCACAGTATCATAACTAAGGCCATAAATAATCCATGCAAAAAAAACCAATTAAAGAAACGTCAAATCTATCGTGAGCAAGTGCTGCCGCATGCGGGCGGCAAGATACCCGACACCGCCTTTGAGACGGATCGTCTGTTCTTGAACCGTCTGCAAAAGGAGGGCATCTCAGTGCCGGACGGCATTGTGCCCGAACAACGGAATCCGCAGGTCATTATCTACGCTACTTAATTATATACATATGTTCAACAACATTTAAATCTATTCATTTGTAGGTCTATCAATACTATAACAATCCCATGCGCACCGTTTATCATATTGCGCTCAGCTCTGATGGACGCTATACACCGCGAGAAGGTCGCTACCATTACCGCCAGGTGCCCACCGTGGAGACCACCTATCTGTATCCCCAGGCCGTGGGTCGTCCGTATGTGTTGGTGCCGCCCAAGCATGCATTGCCCGCCTACCGTCAACTGCAGCTGCATAATCCGTTGCTTAATCAAGTGAAATTCCAGCCCAAGAAAGGTGAGCCGAGTTTTTAGTTTGGGCCTTAACGCCTGGCTGCACTTGCATGCACAACATTTATGTGGCTCTTGTGCAGTGCCCAATTTTCTGGAACTGGCGCCCACCGTGGGCAAGAGTCATACATCCAGCCCATCCAAGGCGCAGTCTTATCAAAATGTGAATCTGCTGCATGGCCAAGCGCTGCCCGCCTTCAAGAAAACCGCCGGTGGAAGCAAGACCTATGTGGACAGCTATGGCAAAACTCACGTAAGCCCAACCATTCGACCATCATAATCCGATCATTTATGGGTATTTTCAACTCTTTGTTGCAGCTCTTTAGCGAATTTGACGATTTGCTTAACAAGCTCGATTTGAATCCAGCAGGACAAAAGCTGTATTAGTTTCTCTAAGTTAGAAGACCATATTTTGTAGAGCTTAAGTTTAGTAGAATACGATTCCTTGGCGGCAATTATAGAGCGATAAATGCCTGCATATCCAAACAATTACGAGCCATACACCTGTTCGATTTTTAAAACCAAGTTGAAAACAATTTCCCCCTTTTATTATTACAGCGAATCATACCATATTTAATAACTATTTCTTGTATACGAGTTGTATTTCAAGCGTAAAGAAATATCTTGCTTGCAAAATAAACTGCAATGTAATGCAGTGTATGCTTTCCCGTTAAAGCTGCATCTAAATGCATTATACATATGCTTACACATGCTTGAGATACTTTTGCTTATCATCATTTTACTAAAAGTTTCATTTACAATGCAATGTAGTAATTAGTTGCCGAGAAAAAAAAAGCTTAGAAAAGCAGCTTCCAAAAATCGAAAGTTGCCCAGCGCACGAGACAAACCGAGTGCCCAAATCCGAACCGCGAACCACGAAGCACGATACCACGCTTACCGTTAGACATCGTTAGCGGTACCCTTGAAAGCTTGCACGACGACGACAACGACGACGACGCCGCCGTCTCAAGTGGACGCCGCTTGGAAAAACTGCACTTCAGCTTCAGTGCGATTTTCAAACTGAACGCAGACGGTTTAGCCTATTCCAAGCCCACAGCAAAATAAAACCTGATCCTAAGATGTTGAAGCTAAACAGCGAGGCGCAATTCACGAGGCTGGCCACACTGCTGCTCGTCGTTGGGGCAGCACTGGCCGTCGAAGTGCAGGTAAGTGAGACCAGCTAATTAGTACATCGATTTGGCATGGTCCATCAGCAGCAGACATGATGAGCATAATTAGTTGGTAAAATCAATCCAGGGAGAAGCGCAGTCTCCGCCCCATTGACTCGGCACGCGTGGCTGTGTCTTACAGCGAGAGCGACTGCGCGACGTTCACTTTTGACCCAAAAATTGTAACATGCAATTGTAGCACATACTAACACGAACACACAAACACACTCATACATGTAACACACATGTTTAATTGTTTGCTAATGAGCGGGCGCCATTCGGGGGGGAGTCGGAGACTGCGGAACCGGTTACCGCATGGAGCTGAGGTTATGCAATTCGCAACATTTGATATGTTTACTTATGTTGCTGTAGAAATTTGGATATCTGTTTAACCCGCCGCAAGCAGAGCATCATGCAAGACCCGAAGATAAACAGGATCTAAACAAAATACCGGGAGTGGCAGGCGTTGACTATCCGATTTACCACGAAGTTCCGCACACGCAATTCAGTTGCCACAATGTGCCCGCTGTTCCGGGCATGTATGCGAATGTGGAGACAGGTTGCCAGGCCTATCATGTGTGCCACGATGGCCGCGAGGGGCATCAGGGAGCTTCATTTCTTTGCACAAACGGCACCATATTCAATCAAAAGGAATTCGCCTGCGACTGGTGGTACAATGTGAAGTGTGAGGAGGCTATTAGCCTCTATCAGTAAGTAGCAGAAATCTAATATATATAAATAATACGATAACGAAATGCAATCGCACATAGCTTAAATGCCGATCCTGAGCATAATCCCTACGTGCCCAAGAAAAAGCCTGAACTGGAAAACGAAGCACATGCGCCACATGGCGGTGCTGGCTTTTTGATACATGCCTAAATCACCATACATTTCTTTCATCCACTATTTAAATTCTTTTAATGCATTCTATTGTGGCAATAAACTTATCAAAAATTTTGTTAATTTGTTAACGGTGGAGCAGTCGCTCTTCTTCTTGTTCGTTTTCATAATTTGTACAACGGCGCTTCGATAAGCCGTCCTATCGCTGTGTGGATATTTTTATTATCGATATTAGGCTAATATCGATACCCTGAGCCCATCACTACACCGAAAAATTTGTTTAGCTGCGTTGCCTTTTTAAAATAAACAAATTCGAACATTAGTGAAATAAAATGGCAGCTGTACGCGATGCCAATGCTCCCGGCTACAATATTGCACGGGATCCGGCCTTGGTAAAGAATCGCATATTTATTGGAAACCTGCCCATTTGTACAAAAGAGGAGCTTGAGAGCATTTGTCATCCATACGGAAAAGTTTTGGGCTCGTTGGTGCAGAAGAATTTTGGTTTTGTTCAATTTGAAAGCGAGGAAATCGCTAACAAATGTGCGAATGCGTTAAATAAATCCACGTTTAAGTCAAAGGCGCTAACCGTACGGAATGCCAGCATAAAGCTAAAGCCGCTGAATGCAATCATCAAGAAGATCAACCCAAACGCACACAACCCAGCAGGTGTGCCGATGGCAGTTCAAGGCGGCATTGTTATGTCCGCTGCCGCCGCTGCTACCGTCGTGCCCATTAACGATTGCGAGATAATCGTGGTCAATCGCGAGAATACGTGAGTATTTATGTTGATCTGTGGGCTCAGCAGCTAACCCTAACGCCCATCCGCAGAAAGTACGCAGAGTTCATTGAAGATCGACTGAGGAACAGTGGCATGCGTGTAGATGTGCTCTTTCCCAACGAGGATGTTATGCTGAGCCAAGTGCTTAGTAATATATCAGCGCGAGGCTGTCTCTACGCCGTTCTGGTAACGCCGCAGCACGAAGCTCTAAATAGCATTACGGTCAACATATTATATGGGGTGCCGGCCGAGCATCGCAATATGCCTCTGGATGATGCTATAACACTAATTGCCACCGACTTTCGATTGAAGAAGCAGCGTGACGCAGTTACCGCATCCCAGCTGCACGCCAAGCAGAGCAGACATCCGGAAGCAATGCAGCAATTGATCGAAATGCTGGCCGACAATCATCCACTGACAGGTTTGCAGTATGAATGCATAATTAATTATCTGCAGGAGCAGCGGGAACAACAGCTCAAGCGGGAGTTGGGTGAAGCCAATGCTTTGGCCAAACTGCATACTCCCGATCCAGAAATGGAGCTGCAAAAGAAGATTCTTAGTGTTATGAACAAGCCCGCGGTGACGGAGATCAACAGCGAGCTTATGTATCCCACATTTGATTTAGCCAAAAAGGATAAACGACTTATGGAGCTGCTGCAAGATCCAAGGGTTATGAGTGCGCTCGAGAGTATTTACAACTCGGACCTCACAGAAACAGTCACGCAATATTTATAGATCGGAACACTTTATTAATAATAATCAGCGAAAAGCAATAACAAATAAACCTAAGGCCAGGATCGCTTTGCTTCATGTCCCTCATATTTGCGCCTATACTTTAGGCCTGTTACCAGAGTAGAGCTCTTTGGAAAAGCAGTTTTCCCGTTGAATTTAGTATCTGTATCCGGATGAAAGCGCAAATACTCATATTGTATGTGCAAGTTCTCCGGCAAATCAATGCGCTTCAGTGCATCCAGCGGCACTGTGGTGTCTACCGCACTCTCATAGAATGAGATCACATCGGCAACGGTGGCCATCTCGTGCACTTGGGAATTGGGAACACCATGCTGCAGTTCCTGAAAGCACGCCGCCAGAAACTTGAACTTTTCTTCCATATCCTTCAATTGACGCTGATCTCCGCCGTTGGCCATCTGCAAATTGGCTGCAACGGCACGAATTTTTGCCGCTGCATCTGTGGAAGGTGCGTATGGCTTATGTGGACGCAGGAAACTGTAAGGAATTGGCGTATTATAGCAATTACATTTAAAAGAAATATTTACCCTTTGGCAGCAATCGATTCACCAACGGCAGCCAGTGTTTTTGTCTTTGTCTGCTTTGACGAAGCGTAGCATCTCTGCAGTTTGGCTACAAGCTATGAGTGGGAGTTTGATTAATATAGAGTGCCTACTAATTTTATTAAATTGAATATTACTCACATTTTGTGGCACAAGAACAAAACCTTTACGTAAATTCACCGCTGCCATTATTTTAGTGTTGTGAAAGAGAAATATTTTAGTGCTGATAGTCCTCATCAATGTATTTGTGTAGCCCTGGCAGATGTAAAAACGAGTTTATGTTATCGATAATGGGTCTATTCGATTTCCCATTCAACACTCATATGCTTATTAATTATGGGGGAAACTGCGCTGAATATTTACACGCAAATCATCTGATTGCTTCCCATTTTAATTAAATTAAATATATCGCCTTGCAAAACGATGGCATTTCTTAAGTATCGAGTTGACATTTTTGACATATTCGATATATCGATATTTTAGCCATCGCTAGCTGTCACTGCTCGTCTCTTTCTTTTTCCGGTCGCCGAAATGGTACGACGCAAGAAATCATAAGCCTAAAAAATAATTTGTAAACATCTTAAATGTTTGTGAAAAATATTCATTGTTGTTTGAAAAACATGACTTAACGCGTGCTTATTCAACAGTTGGTAATGATATTTACGTATTTTTGCAGGGTATTGATATCAACCACAAGTACGATCGCAAGGTTCGCAGAACCGAGCCCAAATCTCAGGATGTCTACCTGCGCTTGCTTGTCAAGGTAATTATATTGACTTTAATAGAATTTGCTGTGTAGCTAAACGTTTTTTCATTTCACAGCTGTACCGTTTCCTGCAACGTCGTACAAACAAGAAGTTTAACCGCATCGTTCTGAAGCGTTTGTTTATGAGCAAAACCAATCGGCCACCAATGTCGCTGCAGCGCATTGCTCGCTTCTTCAAGGCCGCCAAGCAGCCTGAGTCGACTATTGTCGTTGTTGGCACCGTTACCGACGATGCCCGCCTATTGGTGGTGCCCAAGCTGTCGCTGTGCGCCCTGCATGTCACCCAGACGGCTCGCGAGCGTATCCTGAAGGCTGGCGGTGAGGTCCTGACCTTCGATCAGTTGGCTCTGCGTTCGCCCACCGGCAAGAACACCCTTCTGCTCCAGGGCAGACGCACCGCTCGTACTGCCTGCAAGCACTTCGGTAAGGCTCCTGGTGTGCCCCACTCGCACACACGCCCCTATGTCCGATCCAAGGGACGCAAGTTCGAGCGTGCTCGTGGTCGTCGCTCTAGCTGCGGTTACAAGAAGTAAACAACAGCAAGTGGAATTGGTAGACGTCGCTTTTTGGTTAATATATTGATTTGTCAATCGAGGAAAAAAACGTTGCGCTCATTGTGGCAATAAAGAAGTTTTATTCCAAAAAGTGAAAAACAATTGATATGTACCATATGGATAATAATAATATATTAGTCGCGCTAGTGCAAGTGTGTGCTCCAGTAATTGATAATAGGCTGATCTTGCGGCTGTACGCCGAGCACCTTCTTCAGCTTGGCCTGCACGCTGCCGGACTTGGCGTGATTCAGACAAATGACTTTGCTGCAATGTAAAAGTGGACTTGTAGACGAGGATTACGTATGGATATTTCTTGGACCTACTTTTTCCACTCTTCTATTAGCACCTTAGTCTGCTTGTTGAGCACCAGCTCGGTGAACGTCTTCTCCTCAACTGCCTGGACGGCTTTCAACAGCTTGACCATGAGATCTGGAACTGGGAAAAGAACGGAATTATAGCCTGCAGTGCTTGACTCAAACAGTTTACTTACATTTGCGGGGCAGTTCGCCTGGCCACTTGACGGAGACGACATCCGTGCCATTAACATGCTTGTCCAGAAAATCAATGCGAAACACCGAGCTGCTGGCTATTGGTACAGCAATTTCATTGGAAACCGATATTATCTTGTACTCGGAACTTATTGAGTGCTGATGCTGTGCATCAATGCGCATCAGATTATGCATAGGCTCGGGCAGAAGTTTCTTCAGGCACACCATAAACCGGAACGTCCGCTCTGGCGCGCCACGCACTATAATCTTGACGCCAGTTAGGGCACAGTAGCAAACGGTGGCAAAGTCCTCCTTGCGCACCACTTTCTTAATGTGACGCAGCGAGAAGAACTCATCCTGCTCGGGATCATCAATGCTCTCCTCATACATCTGTATCATGGGAAGGGTGGAGCTGTTGTATGTGAGACGCTGCGCCGGTGGACGACCGCTGCTCTGGGGTGGTAGCCACGGCAGATTGCCAAAAGTGACGTGCTCGGTAAGAAACCGTGATCCGGCCAGCAGAATCCAGGCAAAATGTGAATGCAACTGTGCGAACACATGCTCCTCGCCAGTCAGCTCTATCAGAGATCGTGGTGTCGGCATAAGGAACTGTGCGCCTGACAAACGTCTTTGCCTAGCCGAATAGTTAAGCTCCTCGGACGCCTTTGTGCTCTGGGCTCCTGCTTGCAGTTCTGCGGACACTTTCCTCAAATGCTCAGCCAGAAAGGGTTTGGTGTTCAGCAGAAAATACTTATCCTTCATTAAAACTATAATCGAGAAAAGCTGATAGTAGCCACGGGCCTGCAAATCGCTGACACGAAATGTGTGACTAAGAATATGCCCGCGCGCAGAGTCGCCAAAGAAGACAAAGCCGCCGTCGCCGTCCTTGTTTGTGTTTATCTCGCAGCTGAGGCTCCGCACAGCTGCTTGCTTGACAAGATTTGCCACTTCCGGTAGAGCAGCCACTTTGGTGCTCACAAACGTGGCACCACTTTCTGTGTCCTTGCTGTATATGGCATTGCTGTTGTTACGCCCCAGTGTGTAGTTGCAGGCGGAACATGTCTTTTGGCCCTGCTGTTGTTGCTGCTCCACATTAATAAGGTCCTCGACTTTTGTGTCGCGCAGTGTCTGTGTACAGAAGATAGCGCAGGGGCCGTGGGCTTCGCAAAAGTGACATAGCGCAATAACAGCGTTCATCTATGTATTGTTCCAAAATAGTTTTTGTTTACACAGGAACTCCGTTTATTTAGCAGGCACGAGCTTATTTATTTTCGCTGTTTACAGTGTGACCGCGTGCAGAAAACGCAAAGATGCCCTTTTGGAAACCAGTGCAAAATATTGTCAAATTATCGTAAAAACGCGATATCGACTTATCGATAAAATGTAAACAATTTTAATACGCGCTTCACAAAACTAGCTAGAATTAACCACAATACATGGAAGAACATTCCGTTATTATAAGTGAAATAGCAGATGAATGTTTGGAGATCTCAGATAAAATCGATGCGAACTTGATGTTCTTTTACGGCAAAAAACAATGGCATTTAAAAACATGCCTGACTGAAAATGCAAATGGTCTAGTAAGGATCATAAGCAACTGTAAGTACTTTACGGCAATCCTGGTGAATTTTTGTATAATGTTAACCCTTAAATAATTAACAGATGAAAAGGCGCGCACCAAAAAGCTTTGCTTCAGAGCACTTCAGGCGCAAAATGGATGTTTTACACTGGTATTTGTTCAAAGGGAAGCTGCCTCAACCTACTCGGCGAATACACTCGACATGGAACTTGCTGCTGAGATATTGCCGCTTCTGTTTAGCAATTACACACCTACTTTGGAGTTTGAGGTGGTTAAGGAGCAACATCAGCGGCAACGTGAGCTGAAGAGCTATGTGACAACGCAGCTTTACAATGCGTTGTACTGCAAGCATCAGGAGCAGCGACACGATGAGCCACTGCCTCTGTCCTTGCCGACTTATTTCAAGTCGCAGTTGAGAAAATATCAGGAACGTACCGTTAGCTGGATGCTGACTAGGGAGCGCCTGCCAAGTGAATTTCCTGCCAACTACACTGCCCTGAAGGCCCTGAACAGCCAATTTCAAGTGTTCAAGCATAAATACTGCCTGCAATTCTATGCCTACGAAAACACAATGCCCACGATCTCAATGCCGCCGGGCGGCATACTGGCCGATGAGATGGGCCTGGGCAAAACTGTCGAGCTGCTAGCCACAATGTTGCTGAACTCCAGATCAAATGTGAACAACAAATACTGGAGCGAACTTTTGGAAAATATGGAGGATAATGTGCCGCTCAAGCTAAGGCGTGCGGAACATAAAGTTCATTGCATTTGCAAGCACTTAAAGCATCAAAAGGTGAAAGTGCAGTGTGTACGTTGTCGACTGTGGCAGCATCAAATGTGTGTACTGGATGGCACCGATATTTATATATGTCCAAACTGTTGGACAGAATCGACAGCAAACTGTTCAGAGCTAGTAGAATCGGGAGCCACCATTATTGTGTCACCAAATGCCATTAAGACACAATGGTTTCACGAAATCAGCAAGCATATAAATTCATCATTGAAGGTCTTACTCTATGGAGGATTACATTCCGGGCTCTGGGTTAGCCCCATGCAACTGGCCCAGTATGACATTGTTCTGACCGACTACTCCATCCTTACGCACGAGATTCATTATACACCGAGGAACACAACGGATCGTGAGATGCGCTTTGAACAGCGTTACATGCGTCCAAGATCCCCGCTGTTAATGGTTAACTGGTGGCGCGTCTGCCTGGACGAAGCCCAAATGGTTGAGAGCAGCACATCCCTGGTAGCGGAAATGGTTCGTGAGCTGCCGGCAATCAATCGCTGGGCAGTTACTGGCACACCAATACAGCGCACCATCGACGATCTGGCTCCGCTTTTGAAGTTTATTGGCTTTCAGGAAGCTTGTCAGCCGTGGGATGCCTGGCAAACGGTCACCAACTCTTTTTTGCTCAACCACAATGCTGCGCCGCTGCTGGAGCTACTGCAGCATAGTATGTGGCGCACATGTAAATCGAAGGTGGAGGACGAGCTGGGTATACCGCCGCAAAAAGAGCTAGTGCATCGTCTGGAGCTGAGCAACGTTGAGTCCCTGTATTACCGGGAGGAGCATTATAAATGCACTGAGCTTTTTTTGACAGCCGTTGCGAAACACACAAAATACAATGCCAACAACAGCAACTCCTGTTTGGCTTCCATTTCGCCAAAACTACTGAGGCTAATATTACAGCCCTTTTTGCGGATACGTAAAACGTGCTCAGTTCCAGTTGTGCTAAACAATAATGTGGCCACCACAAACTATTTGAATCCACAGGATCTCTTGGCACATCTCAAGTCAAATAACGAATTGCAATGCAAGCGTGAACTGCGCACATGGGCCTCATCCTACAATGGTATTGCAGCCATACTTTTTATTCGCAAGCATTATGGCCAGGCGATTCATAACTACAAGCTTATGCTGAAGTTGGCCAAGGACTACAATGAGGAGAACATATCGTAAGTACAAAGAATTGTCTAATTGTCAATAGAATTTATTGATAGCCTCATATTTACAGCGTGGACAGCTTGCTCCAAATACATGCATTGCACAACTTGCTGGAGGCTAACGCATTGGCGCCAGAAACGGAACGATTGGCAGATCAGGAACTCTCTTCCTATCGCTTAAAATTAAACACGCTAGAGCGCAAATATTTGGAGGACAAGTCAACAGTGCTGCAGGCAGCACGAAATGCCTATGAATTGAAGCTAAAAGAAATGGATCAGCTCTCGCAGCAATTCAGTACAAACATTTTAGACCTATTCGCCACGTTGATCAATACAAGCGACTCCCTGCACAATGCAATGTGGAACAAGATTGTCGATGAGTTTTTTAGACAAAACTGCTCTAAGGAAAAGTTGAAGGATGTAAACTCCATGTCGGGCGTGCTTTATTTAATACACAACTGGCACGAAAAATTGAAGAAGCTGCATACTAAATTAGGCACAGAATTTAATTTTTTGAACGACGTCCTGGTCCAAGCATGTGAGTCAGTAGAAAAGGGAATTGCCTTAAATCAGGAAACGATTAACTTTATTAAAAATGTGTCCGACTGCCACTTGGCTGATATCTTAGTAAGTAGCCAAAACTTTTTATTTATAATTTATACGACGTAATCGAAAACCCATTTACAGGAGGACAAGCCCACTAATAGGCCAACAACAATAGAAAAGCCAAAAGTGCAAAAACATTGCCGTCTATGCAAGATTCGTGATATAGTCAATCAGTTTGAATGCCTGCTGTTTGCAAAGGAATTGGGCAAGGAGGGCACCATAACGGATGGCTCTGAGAATCCAAGCATCGAAATAATTATAATAAGAGGTTCCTAATTACACAATTCAAGTCCATTCTCTGGTTACTAAAAATCCAATAATGTATTTGCAGTGATCTTTAACTTTGTGCGCTCCAGACACGAGTTAAGCGAGTGGAAAATGGAATGTAAAAATAAATTGGATTTTCTGGATGCTATGCAGAGCCTGGTTAAGCTGCAAATCAAGTACTGGATTGAAGTGGAATACGTTATCAAAACGTTTGATGAGCTGGACATGTGTAAAATGCGTATATTGCTCACTAATGACCCAGAGGAGCAATCCAACTTTCGCATATTGCCCTACCAATTAGACGAACAAACGGAATTTAATTTAACAAACATTCGAGAATCGCAGATGAACTTTACGCGATTGTCAGGCCGTCTTAAGTATTTGAAGCATTTGAAGGAAGATGACGGTGACAAGCCCTGTCCCATTTGCCAAACACAGGATGATGAGCGTGTAATAACCTTCTTATTTAATTCGGTATAAAAAAATATTTAATAAAGTCTCGTTTGTAGTATGTCATGCTGTCCTGTGGCCACTTTCTCTGCCAACATTGTCTGGACACCATGAAAAGGAAGTTAAGTCTTGGTAGCGTAACCAAGTGTCCACTGTGTCGACAAAATTCGCCACAGTAAGTTAATACACTATATAACCATATATTTCATTCTAAATACAATCATTTTTATTTACAGACTATACTATTCCGTGCGTAAGGGCGTCAACAGTTCCAAAGTCATCGGCGACTTTTCCACAAAGATTGCGTACATTGTCGAGTTGGTGCTGAAAATCAAATCCCAAAGTAAGGATAAAGAAAAAATTCTGATATTCTCGCAGTGGGCAACCATTTTAAATCATATTGCCAGCGCCTTGAGCCAAAATGGTGTCGAATATCGCAGCAAATTCACTACTCGCGATATTGATGAGTTTAAGGTTTGTATTTTGTGGGTACTCTACAAAGCTAATCATTTTTTTTATATATATATATATTTTTTTTTTATTACCCGAAAGGATCCGGAACGTAATGTGACATGTTTGTTGATGCCCCTGGCTCGGGGTGCCAAGGGGCTGAACTTAATCGAAGCTACCCATGTGTTTTTGGTAGAACCAATTCTGACGCCAGGCGAAGAACTGCAGGCTATTGGCCGTGTTCATCGTTTCGGCCAAACAAAGTGAGTAAAGGGTCGTAATATAAACCATTAAAAAAGATATTTAATATTTTTTCTTTATCACAAAAGATCGACTACAGTGCATCGTTTCATTGTAAATGGTACAATCGAGGAAAATATATTGAAGCTTATTAAATCGGCTGACGATAAGTCCACATTATCAACTCATTGGGACCTAGATAATATGACACTGGATAGCTTAAAGGATCTGTTTGTACTAAAGGGAAGTGAGTAAAAACAGGTAATAGTAATAAGGTCTATGCTATGTAAAAAGTGCATACTCAATATATATTTTATAATTATATGTTGGTAGATTAAACTGTCACTATGTTTATGCTTAGATGTAAGCCTGCTTAAGCCTAGGCGTATTTATAAGGATTACAAAGTATTGCTTTTAGAAAGTTACAGTTTAACATATATTTGCATTTCTGCAAATATTTCCTTGCATCCCACACATTGATAACATTTTCAAAATCTTATCAAGCAATCCGCTCTCACACATGATCAATCTTAAGGTCATCCAGGGTTGTGCCGTCGGCGTTGGCCTTTTGCGCATAGTACCCGTCGTAGGAGCTTTGTGCCTTCTCGATTTCTTGCTGCTTTTGTAGTTTTTGCAGCTGCTCGTAGGCGGCCTCTTGTATTTTGAGACGCTCCATGTCCGCCCGTCGCTTGACCTCGTTCTCCTCAAACTGTTGTGCCTGCAATTCAGCTGATGCTGCTGCACGCTCTGCGGCAGCCTCTTGGTACTCATCATACGAGTGCAGATTCTTGTCGGTGGCCTCGATCTTGTGCAGCGATGAGAGTTGCTCTTTAGCGGCCTCCGCAATTTCTTTGCGTTTCGCTTCAGCTTTGCGCCTGGCCTCGCGTTTCGTGCGCTCCTGCTCCTCCAATTCCTCGCGCGCTGCGTAGAACTTGGATGATATGACGGGTGGGCGATTTTCGTGTGTTCTTTGATGACGCTTGAGCGCCGTCTCCTGTCGAAAATGTGTGCCACATGTTTTGCACTCGAAAGGCTTTTCGCCAGTGTGTATCCATTCGTGATGCCGCAGTGTCTGCGCTTTAGCGAATCGCTTTGGACAGAAGCGACAGGCAAAATCCTTTACCTTCTCGTGTATGATCTTGTAGTGCCGTTTCATGTTGCCAATATTGTTAAAGCCCTGCCCGCAGCCGGGGCAAATGTGTTTGCCTTCCTTCTTCGTAAAGTTCACCTGTGGTGACCAGGAGGGTACTGACACTGATGGAATTGGATTAACTGCCGTGCCAGCCAGCTGCGCTATGTCCACACGCTGCACACGTCTTGGATCCCTGGGTATCGTTGCCACCGACTCGGCGCACACCTTAAGCAGCTCATCGGCAGCATTTTGGGATATTATCACATCGACTGCATCCGCAGTCGTCGGTGTTTCAACGACTGCAACAGCTGCCGCAATATCCGATGGCTCGCCAGTGCCTGTGGACACTTCACCAAGTTCCACTTGGCGCTGACGATACGTTTCAATGGCACGCAGTACACGCTTTTCGTGCGTTTTCAAATGCTTCGTAAGGCTTTTTGGATAAAGGAATTTCTTGCCGCACACTTTGCACTCGCAACGCTTCTCACCGGTGTGCGTCATCTCGTGGATTTTGCATGCATGCGACTTGCCAAAGGTTTTGCCGCAATACTGGCAGGCATAGTTTTTGATCTTCTCGTGCACAATCTTGATGTGGTTGGCCAGACTCTGCTTGTTATGGGAGGCATGCTCGCATATGTGACACTTAAACTTCTTCTCTTGGGTATGCGTAAGGATGTGCGTGTTCCATTCCTGCCGCGTGGTTTTGCCAACGCCACAGTAAGGACACACGTAGTTCTTGATGCCAGCGTGCCGCATCAGATGATCTTTTAGCGCGCTGTTGATCACAAAACGTTTGCCACATATATTACAAGGGAATGGCAGCTCCTTGCCGTCGTGCTTGTACATGTGTTTCTTCAGTGCCATGGGACAGCGGAAGACCTTCTCACACTCTGTGCAGGGATAATCTCTTGGCGGCGCCGCAGCCTTCGAAATGTTATGCACCTTCTTCATATGGAAAGTAAGCAGGCGAATGCGAGGAAATGTCTTGCCACATCCTTCAACGCTACAGGCATGCACCTCAGACAGTTCCGTATGCGCATGATCGACGTGAAGCCGCAGACCACCAGCCGTTGTAAAACCCTTTCTACAGGTATCTACTTTGCACTGGAAAGGCAACAGATCGTTATGGTGCTTCATATGCTCCTCGTAACGGATGGCCTTCTTGAACTTCTGATGGCAAATATGGCAGTCGATGATACGATGCAAGTGCCGCTCAGCAGCTGGAATCCGCTTGCGCTTCATTCTGGATTTGGTGCCGTCTTCTTCCGATCCTGAGCTAAAGTCGTCCTCAAGCTCTGCATTGGCGAGAACTCTTTTCACATTCGTTTTACTGCTTGTTCTTGGATTCCCACGGAGACGTTGGGCCAGGGGCATGTCGTCGTCGCCGTCACTGCTGTTAGGCTCAAAGTCCACATCGTTGTCATTGTCGTTGCTGCTTGCGATTGAGGATTCATCGCCAAACATTTGGAGAATGCCAGTCTGGTCCTCAACATCTTGTTTGACTTCTTTCTCAACCTCCTCCGCCTCTTTGTCGACGTGCTCCAGCATTTTGAACACGTCCTCTTCGTTCTCTATAATCTCCATCTTGTGATTCAGCAACGGATCAAAGTTTATCCGATCCTCTTCCTCGCCAGCCAAATCTGCATCCTGTGTCGCAACATTCAAGACGTCAAAGTTGTCAATTTGGTTAATGGGCGCAGCAGTTGTTGTGAAAAAATTGTTGGCGACCATTTCTTGAAACCTTTGCACGGAGTCCACGCACAGCTTCTGGAAGTCGTGCAAGTCGTTGAGCCGGGTATAGCAATTGGTGCACAGATTCATAGGAAACCCGTCATGCTGTTCCACGGAGAGTGAAGTGCACACACACAGTTTCTTGGCCAGACCCGGGACCAGAAACAGGTCGTAGGCGGCATCGTTTCGCAAATGATTCAAGCAGATGCGGCATATTGTTTGTATGGAGTATCCACTCCCCTCATTCATCTTCGGTGTGTTGTAAATTTAAAACTGCTAAGAAAAAAAAACGCGTCAGAAAAAGAATTTGTGGATGTCGTTGCTGTTGTCTGTTAAATTAACAGCTTGATATAATGTTATTAACAGCGGGGACATATTTCCTCTTTTCGGATGTTAAAATATTAAATTCATTTCTGTTGCAATTCATTGCAATTTTATACCAGCAATAGTTTAATAAAAATAGTTCATTTGAACGCCTTTTAGTTTTTGCAAAAAGCGGCAAATAAGAAAACAAACTTTAAATTAACATCTGCTAAATGACTTATAATCGATGTCACTAAGAAACAGATGAGTCGAACAAAGCGATATAAATTTAAAGTTGAACCAACGTCCGTCGGAATTACATTTCAGAATTAATCAAGTAGTTGTAGAGTTAATGAAGATCATCTTTTAAGTGTTGAAAAAAATTAATTGCTGATAAAAACTTTATTTGTAAAAATAAAACACGAGTTATCGTACTTCAATAATCGGTTTCTTACAAAGTGTATCGATACTTTTTCTTATGCTTCTCAGCGCCAGCTGCATTATATATCAACTATATAAACGCATATGCATATACATGTATGTGAATGTATGCACATATATGTATGTATGTGTGCTAATAGATTCATTCCTCCCAATTTAAAGTGTTAACACGCCAGAAAATTGCAAATATTTATATTTATATACGAGTAAATATATATTTCCTTAAACAATAATTATAATAATCATGTTGTCATTTTCATGGTGCTTAACTAAATAACTTGAAAGGTTTTAAAGTATTGTTTGCGTACTTTTATCGTGCAGATTTTTGAATTTAATGCCACAGACAGTTAGGGTTCGGGCTGGTAGACTGCGTGTCCATTCTTTCAACTTTTACTATCGTACCCAGTGCGTTGTCTTCAAAGGACATCAGCATATTCTAATTCTTTTAACCGGCTTCTGAGTTCTGTGTGGCTTTTGGGTTCGGTAAGAACGGCGACGGGCCTGTAATTCCTTCTTATCAGGACCTTGGTTGAATCCCAGAAGATGTTTGCTCCGCTAAGCTACTAAATGTTAAAATATTTAGTGATTTTAATTGTAGTCAGAACATTAACCTATAGAGTAAGTGTGCAATTCAACACGTACTTAGTAATTCATTTTGTAATACATATTTGAAATGTTTAAGCAGATAATGTTATAATATGTAACCATTCGAGGAATTCGCATAGTTCATAAAGGTTTTTAAGAGGACTGGGATAGCTGTAAGATTCATAATGACTAAATGTAAAAAATTGCTCACACTTACTCAAAACTTATTCTTACCGCTTCAATTTATACATGATCTAATTTAAGAGAATCAATGCTAGTGCCTTCAGCTTCAGCTTTTTGCCCATAGTAGCTATCATAGGAGCCCTTCTCACTCTGCACTTGCCTTTGAAGTCTATTGAGCTGCTCGCAAGCGGCCTCTTGAATCTTACGGGTTTCCTCTTCCGCCTTTCGCTTCGCCTCATTCTCCTCCATCTGTTGAGCTAGCAAGGCAGCGGTAGCTGCGGCACGTTCTGCAGCGGGATCCTGGTACTCCTCAAAAATCTTTGGTTGCTTTTTGTTGAGTTCGACCTTCAGTCCCTTTGCTTTACTAACAGAAGGCTTTGGCGGTTTCTTGGCTTTTGGGGGTTTCGGCGGCTTGTCGTGCACCTTCAAATGCGTCTTCAGCACTTGCTCCTGACGGAAATGTTTGCCGCATATCTTGCATTCAAAAGGCTTTTCGCCAGTATGTATATATTCATGATTGCGCAGGTACTGCGCCTTGGCGAAGCGCTTGGGACAATAGCGACAGGCGAAGTCCTTCACCTTTTCGTGGATTATCTTGTAGTGAAGTTTCATATTGCCAATGTGGTTGAAGCCACGACCGCAGCCCGGACAAATGTGCTGACCTTCTTTCTTGGTGAAGTTTACTTGTGGCGACCAAGATGGTACAGAAACCGATGATATTGGATTAACAGAGGTTCCCGCCAATTGAGATATATCAACACGTTCAACTCTATGGGAATTCTTCGGCTTAGGAGGAACAATTGGCACGGGCTTTATGTCCGCCGGCTCTGCCAATTCCTGGTTCAAATTCTGGGTAGTTTGTGCGTCGCCATCGCCTTGAGATTTAACACTGGTTTCCGGAGGGGGTACCTCGCGTTTCTCGTGAATCTGCAAATGCTTGGTCAATCGCTTCTCGAAAAGGAAGATCTTGCCACAGATCTTGCACTCGCAACAATTCTCGCCAGTGTGAAGTCTCTCGTGAATCTTGCATGCGTGCGATTTTCCAAACGTTTTGCCGCAATACTGACAGGCAAAGTTCTTAATCTTCATGTGAACCACTTTAACATGATTAGAGAGTGCCTGTTTGTTGTGGGATGAATGATCGCATTGACGACATTGAAACTGTTTTTCTCTGGTGTGCGTCAATATGTGCTTGTTCCACTCCTGTCGAGTTGTTTTGCCCACACCGCAATAGGGACAAACATGGTTTTTCACGCCGGCATGGCGCAAGAGATGGTCCCTTAGCACACTGTGTATGTGGAAACGTTTGCCGCAAATTTCACATGCATAAGGCAGTTCCTCGCCCGTGTGCTTATACATATGCTTTTTGAGCGCCGTTGGGCAGCGGAAAACTTTTTCACACTCCGTGCATGGATGATTCCGTGTGTCAGCCTTGGCAACTTTGTGAACCTTTTTCATATGGAACGTGAGCAAAACAGATCGTGGGAATGTCTTGTCACATCCCTCAAAAGTGCAGGCGTGTACCTCAGAGAATTCCGAATGAGCGTGATCCATGTGCAGTCGCAGACCACCAGCCGTAGTGAAACCCTTCTTGCAGGTCTCCACAGTGCACTGGAATGGCAATAGATCGTTGTGATGTTTCATGTGTTCTTCATAGCGAATTGCTTTCTTGAATTTCTGATGACATATATGACAGTCTATTAGACGATGTAGGTGTCGCTCAGCGGCCGGAATGCGTTTGCGTTTTGGTTTCGTTTTGGGCTTATCGTCATCATCATCATCGTCATCGTCATCATCGTCCGAATCAGAGCTTGAGGAGTCATCTTCATCATCATTATTTTTCTTAGCCTTGGCCTTTGATGCTCTGGTACTACTTCGTAAACGAGACAAGGGCATGGCGTCATCAGATTCGCTGCTATTTGCTTCAAAGTCACCATCATCATCGTCGTTGTCAGCTTCGCTTTCACTGGAGGATTGCTTCTCCTTCTCTACCTCCTCCACTTCTTTGTCGACATCTTCTAACATTTTAAAAACATCCTCCTCATTTTCGATTATCTCTATTTTAGTATTTAGCAGCGGATCGAAATTGATACGGTCCTCATCCATTTCTCCATCCGGCGGCGGTACATGCAGTATGTCGACATTGTCAATTTGATTAATATCAGCAATAACGGGTGTAAAATAATTGTTGGCCACCATTTCTTGAAACTTTTGGGCGGAGTCCACACACTGTTTCTGAAATCCGTGTAAATCGTTGAGCCGGGTGTAGCAAGTGGTGCAAAGGTTTTTGGGGAACCCATCGTGCTGTTCCACGGAGAGTGAAGTGCACACACAAAGTTTCTTAGCGAGACCTGGGACTAGAAACAGGTCGTAGGCTGGATCGTTTCGCAAGTGGTTCAAGCAAACACGACATATCGAATGTATGGAGTATTCACTCCCCTCATTCATTTTGCTTATTCTGTTTTTTCTTCAGATAAGTTTGAGAATTTTAGTAAAATTTCAAGCACCGTCCGATGAGAAAAACTATGTATACGCGTCCACAAAAGGAACGAGTGATTAATGTATCGGTTACTTAGACGAGTAATCAAAAAGTCGTTACTTGTGCGATTGTTACGATAGTTTTTGGGCATGTTAATAAAAATATTAACATTTATGAAACTGTCATTTTAAATATGAATAATATTATTTAAACACCCACCGACTTGTTTTTTTTTTTAATTCTATTTATATGTAATCTGCAGCTTACATAAATTGAAAAGACTTGATCGGTTATTAAATATATTGTTTTTTTTTTAATTAATTTTGAATCAAGTTGTTAAAATAAAAAGTAAAATCGAATAATGTCCAGAACAACAAGGAGTCTTTACCAAATTTTAAATAAAAGGGTATTTATGTATGTAGATAAGTTGTATAAAATAGATAAAAAAATACTATATACATATTATAAAACAAATTAAATAATAGTTTTAAATAAGCTTAATCTTTTTTGAGATCATCCACGTTGATACCCGTCTCGGATGTTTTTACTTGAAAGCTATCACTGGACAATTTCTCGATAAGCTGTTCCTTTTGCAGCATCTGCAGTTGTTCGCATGCGGCCTCTTGAATCTTTCGGGCTTCCTCCTCCGCTTTTCGCTTCGCCTCGTTCTCCTGAATCTGTTGCGCGAGCAGTGCAGCTGTCGCTGCGGCCCGTTCCGCAGCCGGATCCTGGTACTCGTCAAGAATCTTAGGTGGTGTTTTGTTAAGATTCATCTTCGGCCTTTTTTCTTTACTAGCTTTTTGTGGCTTAGGTTCCTTGCGAGGTTTCGCCGGATTCTCGTGTTTCCTTTTTACATGCGTCTTCATTACTTTTTCCTGCCTAAAGTGTAGGCCGCATATCTTGCATTCAAACGGTTTTTCCCCGGTGTGAGTCCATTCATGATGCCGTAAAATTTGTGCTTTTGAAAAACGCTTTGGACAGAAGCGACACGCGAAATCTTTCACCTTTAAGTGTATTATCTTATAGTGAAGCTTCATATTGCCAATGTGATTGAAGCCACGGCCACAACCTGGACAAATGTGCTGGCCTTCTTTCTTTGTAAAGTTGACAAGCGGTGAACAGGATTCCACAGACACTGAAGAAATAGGATTAACAGCAGTACCTGCAAGCTCGGATATATCTACACGCTTAAGCCTATAAGGATTCGTCGGCTTAGTTTGTTCTTTTGGTATGGGTTTCGTGTCCATTGGATCGGTCACCTCTTGGGTCAACTTCTGAGGGTTTTGCACATCATCGTCGACCTGCGGTTTAACAGAAGTCGCTGATGCTCGTAATTCGCGCTTTTCATGAAGCTTTAAATGCTTTGTCAAACTCCTCTCGAAGAGCAAAACCTTGCCACAGATTTTGCACTGGGAGCAATTTTCGCCAGTGTGGATTCTCTCGTGGACCTTACAGGCATATGACTTGCCAAAAGTCTTGCCACAGTACTGACAGGCATAGTTCTTAATCTTCATATGAACTACTTTGACATGGTTGGCTAAAGCCTGCTTGTTGTGTGAGGAATGATCGCATTGAAGACAATGAAACTGTTTTTCTTTGGTGTGCGTCAATATGTGTTTATTCCACTCCTGTCGCGTTGTTTTTCCCACTCCGCAGTATGGACAAACATGATTCTTGACCCCAGCGTGGCGCAAAAGATGGTCCTTGAGCTCACTATTTATGTGAAACCTCTTGTTGCAGATGTTACAGGATATGGGCTTCTCCTCGCCAGTATGCTTATACATATGCTTTTTAAGAGCCGTTGAACAGCGGAAAACTTTGTCGCATTCCGTGCAGGGATGATCCCGTGCCCGAGACGTTATAATCTTGTGTACTTTTTTCAAATGGAACGTGAGTAAAACAGGTCGAGGAAACGTCATGCCACATCCCTCCACAGTGCAGGCGTGCACCTCAGAGAGTTCTGAGTGAGCGTGGTCCATATGGAGGCGTAGGCCGCCAGACGTAGTGAATCCTTTCTTGCAGGACTCCACAGTGCACTGGAATGGCAATAGATCGTTGTGATGCTTCATGTGGTCGTTATAAAGGCTTGTGCTATCGAATTTTTCATGACAAATATGACAGTCAATCAGATCATCCAGTTGCACACCGGCTTTTGGAATGCGTTTACGTTTAGGTTTTATTTTCGCTTCGTCCTTTTTGTCATCATTGTCGATGCCCCACTCAAAGCTAGAGGAATCTTCATCATCTACCACAATTTTTCTTTTAGTCTTTGCTTTCGACGATCTCGTAGCACTTCGTAAACGGGACAAGGGCATGGCGTCTTCCGAGGCGCTGCTATTATCTCTTAAACGCGTATCATCATCATTGTCGTTGTTCCTGGAGGGACTGCTCTCAACCTGCTCAAGTTCTTTGTCGACATCATCTATCATTTTAAAAACATCCTCCTCATTCTCCACTACCTCTATTTTAGTATTTAGGAGCGGATCAAAGTTGATGCGATCCTCCTCTGTTTCCCCATCGTGTACCGCAGCACAGATTAATCCGTCTTTGTCAACATTACCCATGTCAGGTATAAAATAATTGTTGGCGACCATTTCTTGAAACCTTTGCACAGAATCCACGCAAAGCTTTTGAAATCCATGCAAGTCGTTAAGTCGGGTGTAGCAACTGGAGCAAAGGTTTTTGGGGAACCCATCGTGCTGTTCCACGGAGAGTGAAGTGCACACACAAAGTTTCTTAGCGAGACCTGGGACCAGAAACAGGTCGTAGGCCGGATCGTTTCGCAGGTGATTCAAGCAAGTGCGACATATAGAGTGTATGGAGTATTCACTCCCCCCATCCATTGTTTGTGTTTTCTACGGATTAGTGTAAGTTTTAACTATTTCAAGCACTGTCCGATGAGAAAAACTGTGTATATGCGTTCAGGAAAGGAACGAGTAATTAAATATCGGCTATTTGCACGAGTAATCAAAAGTACTCGATTGTAAATTGTTTGCGATAGTTGTTGTTGATAATATTGAAATTGTCTTTAATGTTAATTCCAATTTAATAAACGTATTTTATCTACTTCTTGTTGTAAGTGGTCAACACCCAACAAAAGTCGACAACCCAAGGTTCACTTTGAATTTCTTCATTTAAATAATTACAATGTTTAATTTGAAACGCATATTATTATTCTTAAATTGCTCTTATTTAGAAAGCTATAAAAGAGTAAGCATATTCCAAACAATAATATTGGTATACCAACCAATTTAATTATCCTACCGAGTAGAAGTTACTGAAAACTTCTAAATAAAAAGAATTAAAAACCTTTGAATATTATAACACAATGTAAATAGATTTTAAAGCATATTATTTTAATCGTGTTTATTTAAGCATTATCCTTTTTGAGGTCATCCACGCTGATTCCGGTTTCGGATTTTTTTACCTGAAAGCTATCACTGGACAATTTCTCGATAAGCTGTTCCTTTTGCAGCATCTGCAGTTGTTCGCATGCGGCCTCTTGAATCTTTCGGGCTTCCTCCTCCGCCTTTTGCTTCGCCTCGTTCTCCTGAATCTGTTGCGCGAGCAGTGCAGCTGTCGCTGCGGCCCGTTCCGCAGCCGGATCCTGGTACTCGTCAAGAATCTTAGGCGGTTTTTTATTAAGATTCATTTTCTCTCTCTTTTCTGTACTAGCTTTTTTGGGTTTCGGTTCTTTGCGAGGCTTCGCCGGTTTCTCGTGCACTTTTCTTACGTGCCCTTTCATTACTTGCTCCTGTCGGAAATGTTTGCCGCATATCTTGCACTCGTATGGCTTTTCTCCGGTGTGAATCCATTCATGATGCCGTAATATTTGTGCCTTTGAAAAACGCTTGGGGCAGAAGCGACACGCGAAATCCTTCACCTTTAAGTGTATTATCTTATAGTGAAGCTTCATATTGCCAATGTGATTGAAGCCACGGCCACAACCTGGACAAATGTGCTGGCCTTCTTTCTTTGTAAAGTTGACTTGTGGCGACCAGGATGCCACAGAGACTGAAGATATGGGATTGACAGAGGTACCGGCCAGTTCGGATATATCTACACGCTCAAGCCTATGGGAATTCTTCGGCTTGGTCTGCTCAATTGCTATGGGGTTCATGTCAGTCAACTCCTGGCTTGAATTCTGAGTGCTCTGCGCATCATCGTCGACCTGCGGTTTAACAGTAGTCGCTGATGCTCGTAATTCGCGCTTTTCATGAAGCTTTAAATGCTTTGTCAAACTCCTCTCGAAAAGCAAAACCTTGCCACAGATTTTGCACTGGGAGCAATTTTCGCCAGTGTGGATTCTCTCGTGGACCTTACAGGCATATGACTTGCCAAAAGTCTTGCCACAGTACTGACAGGCATAGTTCTTAATCTTCATATGAACCACCTTGACATGGTTGGCTAAAGCCTGCTTGTTGTGTGAAGAATGATCGCACTGTCGGCATTGGAACTGTTTTTCCTTGGTGTGCGTCAATATGTGTTTATTCCACTCCTGTCGCGTTGTTTTGCCCACTCCGCAGTATGGACAAACATGATTTTTGACCCCAGCATGGCGCAAAAGATGGTCCTTGAGCTCACTATTTATGTGAAACCTCTTGTTGCAGATGTTACAGGATATGGGCTTCTCCTCGCCAGTATGCTTATACATATGTTTTTTAAGAGCCGTTGAACAGCGGAAAACTTTGTCGCATTCCGTGCAGGGATGATCCCGTGCCCGAGACGTTATAATCTTGTGTACTTTTTTCAAATGGAACGTGAGTAAAAGAGGTCGAGGAAACTTCATGCCACATCCCTCCACAGTGCAGGCGTGCACCTCAGAGAGTTCTGAGTGAGCGTGGTCCTTATGCAGGCGTAGGCCGCCAGGCGTAGTGAATCCTTTCTTGCAGGACTCCACAGTGCACTGGAATGGCAATTGATCGTTGTGATGCTTCATGTGGTCGTCGTAAAGATTTGTGCTCTTAAATTTTTCATGACAAATATGACAGTCAATAGGATCATCAAGTGGCACATCGGCTTTTGGAATGCGTTTACGTTTTGGTTTCCTTTTAGGTTTGTCTTTTTTGTCGTCATTGTCGATGCCCCACTCAAAGCTGGAGGAGTCTTCATCATCTACCACAGTTTTGCTTTTAGCCTTTGCTTTCGACGCTCTCGTAGCACTTCGTAAACGAGACAAGGGCATGGCGTCTTCCGAGTCGCTGCTGTTTGCTTCGAACTGGGCATCATCATCGTCATTGTCGTTTCCGTTGTCACTGGAAAAATTCTTCTCAACCTCCTCAACTTCTTTGTCGACATCATCCAACATTTTAAAAACATCCTCTTCATTTTCCACTACCTCTATTTTAGTATTTAAAAGCGGGTCAAAGTTGATGCGATCCTCCTCCGTTTCCCCATCGTGTGTCGCAGCATTCATTACATCGTCATTATCAACAGTACCCATGACGGGTATGAAATATTTGCTGGCGACCATTTCTTGAAACTTCTGTACCGAGTCTACACATTGCTTCTGAAATCCGTGTAAATCGTTGAGCCGGGTGTAGCAAGTGGTGCAAAGGTTTTTGGGGAACCCATCGTGCTGTTCCACGGAGAGTGAAGTGCACACACAAAGTTTCTTAGCGAGACCTGGGACTAGAAACAGGTCGTAGGCTGGATCGTTTCGCAAGTGGTTCAAGCAAATACGACAAATCGAATGTATGGAGTATTCACTCTCCTCGTCCATTTTGTTTTCGCTTATGTTGGTTGCTCCCAATAAGATTATAAATTAATAAAATTTTCAAGTATTTTTCGATGGAAAAAGCTATGTATACGCGTCCATGAAAGGAACGAGCTATTCGTGTATCGGTTACTTGTTGAAGTAATCACAAATACTCGTTACATGTGCGAGTTCGAAATGCGTAGCTCTGAATATTCTTGTGGTCATTAAAAACAATCATTTTTGTTCAAAATTTGAAATATAAATAATAATAAATAAAAACGTATCCATTATATTGCCTTAAATATTCTAATTCAGATTGATAGTAATAGAGTAGCTTTTCTGTTGCCAAAGGCCTTATATTTTAAATTATAATTTAAAAATGTTATAAAAACGATTTAGTATTTACATCGCACTATATATTTGTTAAAGTGCGTACAATCATTTATTTCATGTTTTAAGCTGAAAACAATTTAAAGCATTTTCGAAACTTGCAGTAACTTAGCATGCGAATATTAAGAATTATTAATAAATTAAGATCAATATCTTACAAACTAATATTGCAAAAAATAGCATCTTGAGAGTTTAAACATGATCTATCTTGAGAGCATCCACGCCTATACCAGCCTCCGACCTTTCCACTTGAAAGCTATCAAGGGATATCTTTTCGATCAGCTGCTCCCTTTGCAGCTTCTGCAGCTGCTCGCATGCAGCTTCTTGAATGCTACGAGTTTTAGCTTCCGCTCTTCGTTTGGCCTCACTCTCCTCGAGTTGCTGAGCAAGCAGTTCAGCAGTAGCTGCAGCCCGTTCCGCAGCTGGATCTTGGTATTGTTCATAATTCTTTGCGGGACGTTTGTTAAGTTCGATTTTTGGCCTCTGATGCTCTTTTTTCTGAGGTGTGGTTTTTGGAGATTTTTGAATTTTCGGTGGTCTGTTGTGCGAAATCATATGCTTTCGCAGCGATGAGCCATGGCTAAAGTGTTTATCGCATATCTTGCAGCCATAAGGCCTCTCGCCTGTATGCGTATATTCATGATGACGCAGATATTGGGCCTTGCCAAAGCGCTTGGGGCAGAAGCGACACGCGAAATCTTTGATCTTTTCGTGTATCACCTTGTAGTGTAGCTTCATATTGCCAATGTGGTTAAAGCCACGCCCACAGCCTGGACAAATGTGCTGGCCTTCTTTCTTAGTGAAGTTCACTTGTGGCGACCAGGAAGGCACAGAAACTGATGAAATTGGATTAACAGAGGTTCCGGCCAGCTGAGATATATCAACACGCTCAACTCTATGCGACTTCTTCGGTTTAGCGAACGATGCTGGCCCGGGTTTTACGTCTACCGGTGTTGTGGACTCCTGGTTAACATTCGAAGAAGTCAGACCTGTTTCGTCTACTTGTGCATTTGCATCAGTCGCTGGTAATTCGCGCTTCTCATGAATTTTTAAATGCTTGGTCAATCGCTTCTCGAAAAGGAAGATCTTGCCACAGATCTTGCACTCGCAACAATTCTCGCCAGTGTGAAGTCTCTCGTGAATCTTGCATGCGTGCGATTTTCCAAACGTTTTGCCGCAGTACTGACAGGCAAAGTTCTTAATCTTCATGTGAACCACATTGACATGGTTGGCTAAAGCCTGCTTGTTGTGTGAAGAATGATCGCACTGTCGGCATTGGAACTGTTTTTCCTTGGTGTGCGTCAATATGTGTTTATTCCACTCCTGTCGAGTTGTTTTGCCCACGCCACAATAAGGACAAACATGATTTTTCACCCCGGCATGGCGCAATAGATGGTCCCTAAGTTCACTGTTTATGTGAAAGCGTTTGTTGCAGATGTTGCAGGAAATCGGCAGCTCCTCGCCAGTATGCTTATACATATGTTTTTTAAGCGCCGTCGGACATCGGAAGACTTTATCACATTCCGTGCAGGGATGGTCACGGATCTCAGGCTTGATAATGTTGTGAACCTTTTTCTGGTGATGCGTGAGCATACGAGTGCGAGGAAATGACTTGCCGCATCCCTCTACAGTGCAGGCGTAGAGTTCGCAGAGTTCCGAGTGAGCGTGATCCACATGATGTCGCAGACCTGCGGCAGTCGTAAAACCCTTTTTGCAGGTTTCCACAGTACACTGGAATGGTAAAAGATCGTTGTGATGTTTCATGTGTTCCTCGTAGCGAATCGCCTTCTTGAATTTTTGATGGCAAATGTGACAATCAATTAGACGCTGCATAGGTCGCTCAGTCTCAGAAATTCGCTTGCGCTTCGTTTTCCCTTTAGATATAGTTGCGTTATCCACGTCCGATTCCGAGCTAGAGGAATTCCCTTCATCATCAGCCATACTTCTGCCCTTTAAATTTGTTTTTAATACCGCAGCAGCAGTTCGTAGTTGAGACAGGGGCCTGGCATCGTCGGAATCGCTACTATTCGCCTGAAAGTCCACATCGTTATCATTTTTCTCGTATTCGCTTTCACAGGACTCCTTATCCGTCTCTTCCGCTTCCGCTTCTTTGTCGACATCTTCTAGCATTTTAAAAACATCCTCCTCATTCTCAATTATCTCAATTTTTGTATTAAGGAGCGGGTCAAAGTTAATGCGGTCTTCTTCTTCGATAGCCACATCAACATCCTGTGGTGCAACACGCAGCACGTCAAAACTGTTAGCCTGGTTGGTGTGGATTGTAAAGTAGTTGTTGGCCAACATGCCCCTCAACTTATCAAGAGAGTCCACGCATTGCTTCTGAAAATCATGTAAATCGTTTAGACGGGTGTAGCAATTGGAGCAAAGGCTTTTTGGGAACCCATCATGTTGCTCCACCGATAGGGAAGTGCACACACATAGCTTCTTGGCCAGACCCGGAACCACAAACAGATCGTAGACTGCAACGTGTTGCAATTTTGATAAACAAGTTCGACATATTTCGTTAATGGAGATTTGCCTCTCCTCATTCATTTTGTGTGTGCAATTTAACCCTTGAGCTACTGCTGTTTTTTTCACAGATTATTCAGGGATTAAACTATTGGATATCGGTTACTAACACGAGTACTCGTGTAATGTTGACTCGTTACAACTAAGCGCATCACTAGAAATGCTTTAAATTTATATGTACGAGTATATATGAGTGAATGTGCGATGGGGAGGGAAGGGTATTTAAATATGAGGACAAAATACCCTATTACGGCATTAGGTGTCTACGATTGAGGGTAGTATTCACTTCCGAAGAGCTCGCAAAACAAAACGAACACACATTTTAAGTACGTTATATGAATTTCATTATTCTAATTAAGCAATAGATGCTATGCAGTACATAGACAACAAAAATACATATGTATTTATAAATGTATGGTAAAATTAATATTGTTGTAAAATACATTGAGTTACTGTGTTCATGCCACAATAAGCAATTATGGAGCAATTCGAGGGTATAGATCATAGTTTCTTATAAGACTGAGGAGCTGTAAAAAATTATAGCTATATATAAAATATTGCTGGGCTTTGAAAGTGTCTCATCCTCACCGTTCCGATTTATACATGATCTATTTTAAGCGCGTCCACACTGAGGCCCTCAGCTTGAGCCTTTTGTGCATAGTAGCCGTCATAGGACGTGGTCGCTTTCTCAATCTCCTGCTGCTTTTGTAGCTTGTTCAGCTGCTCGCAAGCTGCCTCTTGAATCTTCCGTCGTTCGATGTCTGCCTTGCGCTTCGCCTCGTTCTCCTCAATCTGATGGGCAAGGAGCTCAGCTGTAGCCGCAGCTCGCTCTGCGGCCGGATCTTGATACTGATCGTAATTTCTTGGCTCGCGATCGATCTCGCGTGGCTCGATCTTGTGGAAGGTAGGCTGCACTTCTTCTTTCTCTGGATATATGCGCCTATTGGGCTTGTCGTGTGTCTTAATATGCTTCTTAAGCGCCGTCTCCTGTCGGAAATGTTTACCGCAAATCTTGCATTCAAACGGTTTCTCGCCGGTGTGGATCCATTCATGATGCCGCAAGATTTGTGCCTTTGAGAAACGCTTCGGACAGAAGCGACAGGCGAAATCCTTCACCTTCTCGTGTATTATCTTATAGTGAAGTTTCATGTTGCCAATATTGTTGAAGCCTCGACCACAGCCGGGACAAATGTGTTGGCCCTCCTTCTTGGTAAAGTTGACCTGGGGCGACCAGGATGGCACCGATACCGATGGTATTGGATTAACAGAGGTGCCCGCCAGTTGAGATATATCCACACGCTGAACGCGCCGTGAGTTTTTCGGTTTATTTGCTGCTGCTGCTCCTGTCGCGGGCCCGCCGCCACAAGCCTTCAGCAAATCGTCGGCTACATTTGGAGGCATCATTCCATCGGGCTGCATATGGCTGGGTATTTGGACACCAGGCAGCGGAATGTTAAGCGGACGGTGCGTTTCGACTGGCGGCAGATCCCGTTTTTCATGCGTCTTCAAATGCTTCGTTAAACTCTTCTCGCAAAGGAATATCTTGCCGCAGATCTTGCACTCGCAACACTTCTCGCCCGTGTGCGTTCTTTCGTGCACTTTGCAGGCGTGCGATTTTCCAAAGGTTTTGCCGCAGTACTGACAGGCAAAGTTCTTGATCTTCATGTGGACCACCTTGACGTGGTTGGACAGAGCCTGTTTGTTGTGGGAAGCATGATCGCACTGGCGGCACTTGAACTTCTTTTCCTTGGTGTGCGTCAGAATGTGGGCGTTCCATTCTTGGCGCGTGGTCTTGCCCACGCCGCAGTAGGGGCATACGTGGTTCTTAATGCCCGCGTGCCGCATCAAGTGATCCCTGAGTGCGCTGTTGATCACGAAGCGTTTGCCGCATATGTTGCATGGATACGGAAGCTCCTCGCCCGTGTGCTTGTACATGTGCTTTTTGAGAGCAGTCGGACAACGGAACACGGTGTTGCACTCTGTGCAGGGGAAGTCGCGCAATGGAGCCGCAGACTTCGAAATATTGTGCGCCTTCTTCATGTGGAACGTAAGCAGACGCACGCGTGGGAATGTCTTGCCGCAGCCCTCAACACTGCAAGCATGCACTTCGGAAAGTTCGGTGTGCGCGTGATCAACATGTATGCGCAGTCCGTTGGCGGTGGTGAAGCCCTTCTTGCAGCTCTCCACTTTGCATTGGAATGGCAACAGATCATTGTGGTACTTCATGTGTTCCTCGTAGCGAATCGCCTTCTTGAACTTCTGATGGCAAATATGACAATCGATGATGCGATGCAAGTGCCGCTCGGCAGCAGGAATGCGCTTGCGTTTGGGCTTTTCCTTTGATCCGCGCCTTGAGCCAGGTTCACCGTCGTCGTCGGAGTCCTCATCTGACGATGAAGATGTACTGAAATCCATATCGTCGTCGCCGTCAGCGGGCTTTTTCTTTTTAGGCTTGGACTTGGCTGCTCGGGTGGTTTTGGCTTTGCCCCGCATGCGTTGTGCTAGGGGAATGTCGTCGTCGCTGCTGTTTGGCTCAAAGTCTATATCCCTGTCGTTGTCGTTGCCGCTCTCAATGGAAGACGAGTCCTCGTTGTACATATTTACTGTAATGGGCTCTTTGATCTCTCTTTTATCTTCTTTGACTTCCTTTTCGACCTCCTCGGCCTCCTTGTCGACATCCTCGAGCATCTTGAACACATCTTCTTCGTTTTCGATTAGCTCCATTTTGTGGTTCAGCAGCGGATCAAAGTTAATGTGGTCCTCATCCTCGTTGGGCATGTCGTGCGCCGAGACGCTTGGATCCAATACGTCAAAGTTCGATTGACAAGTGAAGGCGTTGCTGGCGACCATATCTTGAAACTTTTGTACAGAGTCCACGCATAGTTTTTGAAAATCGTGCATATCGTTAAGCCGGGCATAGCAATTAGTGCACAGGTTCTTCGGAAAGCCATCGTTTTGCTCAACAGACAGCGAGGTGCACAGGCAAAGTTTTTTGGCTAGGCCAGGCACCAGATACAAATCGTAGGCAGCGTCGTTCTGCAAGAGGTTCAGGCAAATGCGACACAGCGTGTGTATGGAGTATGTCCTCGCCACGTCCATCGTGCTTGATCAATTCGAAGTATTTTTTATATGTTCACAAAATTTTTGCTCTTCGGTTGTTTCCAGCAACAAAAAAAAATAATATTGACACGAAAAAAATTGGTATACTCGTCAGCCAACTAGAACGAGTACAAGTATCGGTTACTCAAGCAGCTACTCCTATACATGTGCATAAATAATCGATATTTCGCCAGGGCATACGCCATTGCCCTAATCGATACTGTGTTTTGCATGATCTTTGTATTTGTACATCACTATAAACGCTTTAAATACTTGTGCAAATCAATTTGGGAATTGTTTATTCTTTAAAATTATTGATATTCTGGAATGAGTACAAACACACTGTACTCTGTTGATTCAATATGCCGCGTTTGCTTAGAATATGTCGAGAGCAGTACAGTGTATGACCTGTTTTTATTGCCAGATCTCGCAAAGACATTTACAGTATGCACGTCCTTGTTGGTGGATCCCCAAGACGGCTATCCCAGAAATCTCTGTTCCACTTGCTTCGCCAGATTAAACGACCTCCATGATTTTCAGCAGCTCTGCGTCGCCTCAGTGCAGCGCTTTAAGCAAATGGTAGCCAGCAAACTCATCGTTGATGTCAACACAGTTGACATTTACGAACCGCTGCCAGTGGCCAGCAACGAGTCCGCACTCGTGTCCAAGGATGAGCAGCCAAGCAATGAGTTCGATCCTTTGCTAAGTCATAAATTGGAGATGATTGACAACGAAGAGGAAGTCTTTAAAATGCTGGAGAACGTTGACAAGGAAACCGAGACCGTTAAACAAATTTCAAGCGACTGCTCATCGGAGTCTAGCCTTAGCGATGATGATGTTCCTTTGGCTCAGCGCCTGCTAGACCAAAACAGCGAAACGGATAGCGAAGCAACGTGTGAGAGGCTGGCCAACTCAAAGGCAAAACGAAAGCGCATTCCCGCAGCTGAACGCCATCTTCACCGCATTATCACCTGCCATGTCTGCCAGCAGAAATTTAAGAAGCAAGTCAACTACGATGAGCACGTAAAGCACCATAACGAACTGTTGCCCTTTCAGTGCCAGGTGGAGAACTGCAAGAAGGGCTTTACGACAGCGGCAGCACTGCGACTGCATGTGGACTATGCGCACACGAAAAGCGCCGCTGAAATTCCCTGCACTGTCGAGGACTGTAAGCTGCTGTTTCCACGCATGCGACTACTAACAATTCATTTAAAAAAGGTGCACAACATGTCGCGCGCAAGTGTGCCACGGGCGGAGCAGCCGTGCACCGAGTGCGGTATGCCATTTCGCTGCCCAGTCGCCCTTAAGAAGCACATGTACAAACACACCGGGCAGCAGCTGCCCTATCCGTGCAATATATGCGGCAAGGGCTTTCACATAAACAGCGCGCTTAAAAATCATCTGCTGCGGCACGCAGGCATCAAGAACTATGTGTGCCCATATTGTGGTGTGGGCAAAACCACGCGACAAGAGTGGAGCAAACACATTCTCACGCACACGCAGGAGAAAATGTTCAAGTGCCAGATCTGTGATCATGCTACACACACGAAGCGGGCGCTGGATAATCATGTGAAGATTGTGCACGAGAAAGTTCGAAATTATGCGTGTCAATACTGCGGCAAGACATTTGGGAAGTCGCATGCATGCAAAATCCATGAGATGACGCACACCGGCGAGAAGCGTTGCGAGTGCAAGGTCTGCGGCAAGAAGTTCTTGTACACAGAGAGCTTAACCAAGCATCTAAAGATACACGAGAAGAGTGTAGATCGTGCCATTCAGACCTACCGCCAGCGCCAAGTGGAACTCAGTAGCTCAAACCCAACTGTTGAACAGGCTATCAGTGAAGCATCCGATTCTCTGGCGAAAAATGATGCCAATGCAGCGGACCAGCTATTGAAAGTGTGCGCCGAGTCAGTGGCTACAATACCACGGGATCCGCGTCGTGTCGAACGTGTGGACATTGCGCAATTGGCAGGCACCGTTGTGAATCCCATTCCCGCCGTCTTAATGCCCTCCAATGCAGCAACGCAAGTAAAGCTTGTGCAGAAGGAGGGCATGCATTTCTGCCCGGGCTGCAATCAAGCCTTTAACAATTTGGGCAACATGAAGCGACATTACAAAAGCGTCCATGAAAAGGTCAAGGACTTTGAGTGTCGCTTCTGTGCTCGTCGCTTTGCCAACTCACAATCTCTTAAGCAACACGAATGGATACACACGGGCGAGAAGCCGTATGCCTGCAAGACCTGCGGCACCCACTTTCGTCAGGAGGCGGCTTTGATTCGCCATCAAAAGGTGCACGAAGAGAAACCAGCGAAGCCGGCAAACCGTCCAAAACAAATAACAGAAAAGTTTCGGGAAAAGGAACTGCAAAAATGTGAGAAGAGGCGTAAAGTTGAAGCATTGCGTCAAAAGATCGCTGAAGTAGCTAAAGAGGAGCTCCGGGAGCTGGCCAAGCAGCGTATGCTGGAAAAGCAGCAAAATACCTACGCGCAGTACCAGGAGGCAGCAGCGGCGGCTGCTGAGAAGACACAGGCACCAGATGAAACCGAGAGCAAAGAGTTCTCTTACTGAGAGAGCACATTGGGTGCTATATGCTTCCAAGTACGATAATATATGGGAGATGTTATTGCTGGTTAATATTTAACTGTGAGATAGTTGTCCATTAGATATGATTAAATTTAAATTACGACTTTTAAATGAAATCTGTAATTTCTCTGATTGTTAAGCCACCACCCCAAGCAATCGAATGAGAGTTTTACAATTTTTTTTTTATTTTTACTTTTACTTGCTTGTTATATTGATGAGAGTTGTTTTCATGTGTTTTATGATTGCCAATTGTTCGAACTTCAAGCTGAATAAGTGTCTTGAAGTGCCAAACATTGGCATGATACATGCTGATGATTGATGATGATGTTTAATGTTGTTACGAATGATGATGGAAATTATTTTAAAACTCGACAAATAGCTAGCAAAATGGTTGTACAAAAATACAAATTGTTTACGCAGTTTTGAGCATTGTTAAAATTTTGTAAAATTGGCTTGCTTTAAGACTTATATGCATATAGAAGTGCATGTGGAAAGTTCAATGAACCATATGATCCTGCGGCGACTGGCAGCCCCGCAACCACGCAGCTCGACAGCTTCTAAGGTGCCTCCGGTGTTTTTAAATTGTACTTGGATTTTATGTTGTTGAGCTCCTCCTGTTTTTTGTCCACATCCACGCGCTTGAAGGCCTTGTTGGACTGGTAATAGAGAACGACCAGATAGCGATTGCACACATTAAAGCCGGATAAATGGTCGCATGCGTTTTTGGCATCGAAAATGTCCTCGTAGACAACGAACGCGGTGCCCCTTGTCTCCGGCGTATTGCCACTGTCAATGATTGCAATTACAAATGTAATTAACTAAATGCTTCGATTTAGTTTAAGTTCAAGTCACTTACACGCGTATTTGACGAATGGCACCAAATTTACCGAAAATATCGTACATTTCGTCGGATGTTATTTTATATGGTAAATTGCGCACATATAGCAGCCGATTCACCTCTGGCGGCAGCCGAATCTGTAAAAAATGTTCATTTTAATTGTTGTCTCAATTATTCCTTTGTGTGCGGCACTCACGTTGTTGCGCTTGTTCATGTCTGGTCGCAACTGCTCTTGAAATGCGACTAGCAGAAAACTTTCACTTGACCGTCTGGCTGGCGTTGCTGCTTGTTGACCCCGGGATGAATGTCCTGAAACTTGGTCCTTTGTTAAAATTTAATGGGCCTGTCTGTCTGGCCTCAAACCCAAACAAATAGTGATTAAATTATGTTAGAGAAGCACTTCATGTTATTGAACATAACATAAAACTGCTATTAACATAATATCAAACGTGTTTAAAATGTTATTTATTTTTCTCTCTACAAATGCTGTAGCAAAAACCAATGCTTTCTATTTTTTCCACAATGTGAATTTATATAAAAATCAAGGAAAAATTAATACGGCAACATAGTAAACTAGCAATCACAGCTGTCATCGTTACTTTAACATTTAATTCACAATAGACGAAAACATTTTACAGCACTCTTTGCTTATCGTTATCGATTGGAATGTGACCCTAAATGCTCTTAGTCACTCAGTTGGTCACACTCAAACACCACAAAAAATTCATCTGGCAGAAAAGTGAAAAAGAGAAAATTAAGGGGTTTATCAAGTGTACCCAGCAAAATTAGTTTTAATTCACACCCAACACAATTGAGGGTAAGTTTCAATAGGTACACTAGTGCTAACATAAAGTGAAGCAAAATAATGTTTAACGACTACAAAGAACATGGCGGCAGCGACAAGCCTCAAGTAGTTATTACATTATGTGTTTTTTTCACGCTGTCTGTATAACTGAACATGTGTGCGTGTGTTAGTGAGTGTCTGTGTGTGTATGTGTAGAGAGGTAGAGAGATGGCCTCGGACAAAGTTCCTCGTACTACCCTTTAAGAGGGCGTTCAACTCTCGTAGTATGGGTGGGGTTGATTTAGACGGTATATCTAATTAATTTGCACCTCTCAGCATCTCACATAAACTGCATCAAAATGACGTGGGAACCCCAGGCAGAAGGTCTTCAGCAGATCATTGGGATCTTAAAAGAATCTCAGTCACCAGACACAGCGACTCAAATGGCAGTCCAAATGGTAAGCCAGCTGCACAAATAAGCAAATAAAAAGAGCTCAAGTTACTTTTCGTTTTCATTAGAAACTGGAGGAATTCAACCGATATCCAGACTTCAATAATTATTTGATCTATGTGCTGACCAAATTAAAAACGGAAGATGAACCCACACGTTCGCTGAGCGGCTTAATACTAAAGAACAACATACGCATGCATGGCAGCAACCTGCAGCCGGAGATTGTTGAGTACATTAAACACGAATGCCTTCAAGCCGTGGGCGATGCATCACCTCTGATACGCGCTACCGTCGGTATTCTGATCACCACAATAGCCAGCAATGGAGGTCTGCAAAATTGGCCACAGTTGTTGCCATCGCTGTGCGAAATGCTTGATAACCAGGACTACAATGTGTGCGAGGGAGCCTTTAGTGCTTTGCAAAAGATTTGCGAGGATTCAGCTGAAATCTTAGACTCGGCTGCCCTCAACAGGCCACTGAACGTGATGATACCCAAGTTTTTGCAGTACTTCAAACATAGCAGCCCCAAAATACGCTCTCACGCAATTGCATGCATTAATCAGTTCATTATTAATCGATCCCAGGCGCTAATGCTGCACATTGATGCGTTTATTGAAAATCTGTTCAATCTGTCGTCGGATGAAGATCATGAAGTGCGCAAGAATGTCTGTCATGGTCTAGTCATGCTGCTTGAAGTGCGAATGGACAGACTAATGCCCCACATGTCGCAGATCATTGAGGTAAGCAATTAAAACTAGGATAATAGGTATACAATATTGCTCTAACTTGGCTATTTTGTGTATTTTATTGTCTTTGCTCAGTATATGCTGCTGCGCACACAGGACTCCGATGAGGGCGTAGCCCTGGAGGCGTCCGAGTTTTGGCTGTCGCTGGCGGAGCAAAGTATTTGTAAGGATGTGCTAGCACCATATTTGGCCCAGCTGGCGCCTGTTTTGGTGCGTGGCATGAGATACTCTGAGATCGATATTATTCTGCTCAAGGGAAATGTAGAGGAGGATGATATGGTGCCGGATCGCGAGGAGGACATACGTCCACGCTTCCACAAATCTCGCACACACACCATCAAAAGCGGTGAGGTTAGCCAGGCGTCCGGTGGTGAGGAGGATGAAGATGAATTCGATGATGGCTTGGACGATGATAGCTCGCTATCTGAATGGAATTTGCGCAAGTGCAGCGCTGCCGCCCTTGATGTATTGGCGAATGTATTTCGCGAGGATTGTCTGCCCATTGTGCTTCCCATTTTAAAGGACACACTGTTCCATCAAGAATGGGTTATCAAGGAGAGTGGCGTGTTGGCACTCGGCGCCATTGCCGAGGGCTGCATGCAGGGTATGATTCAGCATCTGCCTGAATTGATACCTTATCTGATAAGCTGCTTGTCCGACAAAAAAGCGCTGGTGCGCTCCATTACCTGTTGGACGCTCTCGCGTTACGCTAACTGGGTTGTCAATCAGCCACATGATCAATACCTAAAACCACTGATGGAGGAGCTGCTCAAGCGTATCCTGGATTCAAATAAGCGTGTGCAGGAAGCTGCCTGCTCGGCGTTTGCCACGCTCGAGGAGGAAGCTTGCACCGAACTGGTTCCATATTTGGAATATATACTAAAAACACTCGTTTTCGCCTTTTCCAAGTATCAACATAAGAATCTATTGATCTTGTATGATGCTGTTGGCACCTTGGCTGACTCTGTGGGTCACCATCTAAACAAGCCACAATATATTGATATATTAATGCCGCCACTAATTGACAAATGGAACTTGCTAAAAGACGATGACAAAGATCTGTTCCCATTGCTTGAATGCCTGTCCAGCATTGCAACTGCCCTGCAATCGGGCTTTTTGCCCTATTGTGATCCCGTCTATAGAAGATGCATATCGCTCATTGAGCAGACAATCAATCAGGAGATGGTATGTCATCATCCTGAAATTATTTTAGAATATAGATAGACAATTCTTATTTTTCAGCTCTGCAAGCAAAATCACACATTTGATCATCCCGATAAAGAACGCATGATTGTTGCTCTGGATTTACTCTCTGGCCTGGCCGAGGGTTTGGACAGACACATTGAAACTCTGGTAGCTAATAGCAATATTATGCATCTGCTTTACCAGTGCATGCAGGATGTTCTGCCGGAAGTAAGTTTATTTATTTGCGAATCTTATAAGCATTAGTAAATTTTGCTGTTGTTGTTGCTGTAGGTGCGCCAATCCTCATTTGCTCTGCTCGGTGATTTGACCAAAGCCTGTTTTCCACATGTGCATCCGTTTATGGCCGAGTTCTTTCCCATATTAGGTCAGAATTTGAATCCCGATTTTATTTCGGTCTGCAACAATGCAACATGGGCTATTGGCGAAATATGCATGAAATTGGGTGAGTCCTCGATAATATTTATTATAAAAATAACATCAAACAAGATTTTTATATGTGAATTTTATACAGTTTGAGCATGTAAACAGAATATTTACATATATACAGTATATAAGTTCTATTCATAGAGCAATTAAATAATGTAAATTCGTTTTTTAAAAATTCTAGGGGAGGAAACAAAGCAATACATACACCTTGTACTAACCGATCTCTTCATCATCATTAATCGCCCGAATACGCCCAAAACGCTGCTGGAGAATACAGGTGAGTAGACGCAAAAAGGTGTGTGTGCTATGTGCAATCGTTATAAAAGCTGTATGCAATGTATATGCGAAATATTTATATGTTTGTGTGCGTATGTGTGTACGTATATTTGTACATATGTATGTGCGCTATCTAAACATTTATTTCTGGTATCATTTAACGTTGCATGTGACTCATTGTCGCCAATTGCAACAACAATAACAATAATAAACAAAACATATGAACATCACATATAACACATACCATCATTGTGTATTGTAAGTTCTCGTGAATGTTCAACTGTTCGTTGTGTGTAATTAATTGAAAACGAATCGATGCAATACAAACACACTAAATACCAAATACAAATCCATAAAATAAATGTAATATAATTTATTCAGTTGATTTATTTATATTTTTCTGTTCTTTTAGCAATAACAATCGGTCGTCTAGGTTATGTGTGCCCAGTTGAAGTGGCTCCTTATTTGCCCGAATTTGTACGACAGTGGTGTGTAACACATTTATCAAATATCGTTTTTTCATTCTTATCTTTATCATTATGTATCTTATTCTTATTGCATTTCCTAACTAAAACTTTAAATTATGCTTTTAAAGAATTCAGAACACGCAACAGAATATCCTTTTACAGTAATTTTTGATCTTCTGTAATATATAAATTTCTTTTGTGCTGTTCCTTACTTTTTTCTTCTATTTCTTTTAATCTTTTGCTTCTATTTGAGTGTTTGCCTATGGCATGCTCAGCTATTTGATGTTATATTTAATGCTTTTTTGCATGATATACCCAAAACAGGTGCACATCGCTGCGTCACATACGAGATAATGACGAAAAGGACTCGGCCTTTCGTGGCATGTGCCACATGATCACCGTGAATCCAGCTGGCGTTGTGCCTGACTTTATATTCTTCTGCGATGCAATAGCATCATGGGTAAATCCGCCACAAGATCTGCATCAGATGATACAAAAGGTATGTGCCTTGGCTTGTTGATTCAATTGAAAACTGTTTAACTGATTTGAATTCGCCTTAACAGATATTACACGGCTTCAAGACACAAGTTGGTGAAGAGAATTGGCGTCGATTTGTTGATCAATTCCCGCCAACTCTAGCCGAACGTTTGGTTACAATGTACAACATATAAGGTGGCATTGGCTTCACTAACAGTCCACATACCACACCCATAAGCAACTTATTAACTAGACAATTATGTTTATGTATGCAAGTAAGCGTGTCGTCGTCTTTAAACTTAGTGTAAGCACAGTTAGCAGACAAATGTTTAATTAGGCTTGTTCGATGCAGTTCGAATAATTCAATTACATTAATATTTGGAATTTCAACTTATAAAGTCAACTACAAAACGCCGAAAAAGCAAACATCAAACTAATACAATTCATTTACAAATTACACATATAACTACATAACATTTAACCCAAATAGGTATATCATCATATACATATATATATATATATATATATATATATATATGCATATAATCCCATATATATATATATATATATATATATATATATATATATGCATATAATCCCATATATATATATATATATATATATATATATATGTATATGTATGTATATTTACATCAATATATAGGCAACGCAAAAATTATAAGACAAAAGTAGGATTCTCTTATATCTGGACATAAATTGTCAGTCTTACTCCGCAGTAGCCAATTCTTTATATATTTTGCATACCCTCATTGCAAATCAAATTATACTTAAATACATTTGTGTTCCGGCTGTACTTATGCCGGAACCAGTGCTATAGCTATAGAAAACACATAAAACACATACTCTCAATAAGCTCTTGGAAATGCTATTCACACAACAATAACCAGTTGAATATGCTTATTTACTGTGTTTACTTATCGCTAATTATTGGTAATTTTAATTTCAACGTAAGCTAAAAATGATATTGCGGTCCGTCTCGCGTATATTATAATATGATATAATAATGATATAACGTAAATCAAAGCAACAATCGTAACCGGTAACTAAATAAAAAAAAGCAGTTGGGCTACTTGTGAATTGAAAATCAAAAGAAACGTGTGCTAAAATATTTAACCAAATTCTGCAGAAATATAACAAATATTTAATATCAACAAAGACTGATGGCTTTAAAAAAAAATCCGTTCAATACCATAGACAAGCATTCACCATCTACCGAATGATTTTCACAACTATACCCAACACTTTTAATAATAGAAAATATATAAAAATATCGTCGCGTCTCGGGTTTCGGGTTCGGGTTCGGGTTTTACGGTTTCGCGTTCGCGTTCGCGTATTATCGTCGCTCGTTCGTTCGTTCGCTCGTATATCGTATCGTATCGTATATCGTCGGGTAATAAAACAAAGAAAAAACTAATAAATAATAAGAGTGCAACTGTTACTGATACAAATTTACTTATAATGTATACGACTTGATATTTATATGCTATGCAATTTAGAGAATTTTTTTGTTTTTGTTAAATTAACAATATGAGATTAGAATTCCGTTGAATATGATATTTATTTTGTGCGATCCTTAAGAAATGTTAAACAAAAAAGAAGAAAAACCAAGCAACTGATTGACTGATTCAATTTTTAAAGTATTATATAATTTTTGTATAGGAACATATTTAAATATTTTTTTTTCTCAGACTTTTGCTATAACTTGCATAGACTTGTTTTGGCGTTTCCTCTGGTACGCGTTACCTTATTATTTATGATGTATGTACAGAACAAATTTTTAACGATTAGGTGTAAAGTGTACTACTTAACGGAAAACAAAAGTCTTTGAAATTGTCGCGGATCAAAATCTAACAAAAAACAAATTTAACTCAAATCAACTCAAAAAACAAAGTAAATCTAAGTAATAGTATTAATTATATGCAAACTGTTAGGCGCAGTTTGTATTTTTATTTCCTTTTGAAAAAACAAAACAAACAACAAATAAGAAAACAGGGGGAACGTGTGATAATAATGTAACTTCGGGTCGTTCGTTCGCGTCGCGTGAAAACTAAATACAATATATATAAAATCAACAATACGGGACTTTCGCCCCCGAGTCCCCAATAACATGGAATCAAACATATAACTGAAAACTCAAAATAACTGAAAGCAAAAGCAAAACTAAAACTAAAAGAAAAATCGTGATTTCGTTGTACCTTAAACCGAATTCATCGCGGAATTTCGGTCGCGTTCGCGTGCGTTTGTATCTCTCTCGGGTGATCTTAGTGATTAGCGATTAAGCAGTAAAAAATATTAAAAACAAAACGTATAAATTTAATAAAAAGCAACAATTACACACACACACACACACACACACACACACACACACACACATGCAAACACACCATACATAGAATATATACATAGGCATATATAATATTTCTAGGTTATGCATACTAGGTTTTCGTTCAATCTATTCATTTCATTCAAAATAGTGAAACCAGAAATAATATGAAAATTTCTTGGTTTCTTAATAAGAATTCTGTTTAGAACAAACACTAACACATACAACCAAGCACACCGGCAATTTTAAACGGAACTCTTAGGTGTATAACCCTGTCAGAATTTTTTTTTCTCAAACTAATTTCTTTCTGTAAACTTCACACTATCGAAACGACACAATTTTATTACAAAAACATATGTACAACACATGTATATATGTATACCAAAATAATTAATGTATAAACTATAGCAAGTCCTTTACACAATATGAATATGTAAACGATGAACAGCACACGGCAGTGTCAATAGAATATTGGAAATGCTAGAATTCAGGAATTCCAATCGACTGAAATTTGAACAATTGTCAAGTTCTATTGTCACTCTGCTAAAAGCTGAAACTTGCGCATTCAATGCTCTCCAAGGAGACATGTGTAACCTAATCAGAAACTTGAATAAATATGTATATATAACATAATCATTAAATGAAATAGTTTTTCATTAAGCAAAGTTATTTTATCCGAAAGAGTATGTATTTTATTAAGTTGTTAATTCAATATTTATTTAAGCAATTGACAAGAATATTTTCAAAGTTACAAGAAATCTGAACAAATTATGGATATTACGGATTATTGGCACAAGTTTTTACTTATATATTAGAAATATGTACGACGTTTAGCTATACTGTTAGTCCTTGTTATACAGAACTCCCAGATCATTCGACAGCCCGTCGATATTGTTCGTATTTTGTTCGTTCGTAGTCCTTTTCATTTCATTTCAGATGTCATCTTTCCACGTTGGTTAGTTAAACCATATGACGGCAATCCAAATCGTGTGTCCTTTGCCGAAGTCCAGAGTCGAAAATTATATTTGTAGAGGGTTTAGTTCAAGGGGCAAACACCTTGCCAAATATCGCCAAAGACAAGATTTGGCGTTATGGTCACGTCCTTTTTGTTGATTTGCACATTCTTGATGCAGCCATTGAAGGTCTTTTTGGTCTTGATGCCCGGCGCCTTGGCGAACGCATGATGGCCGCCCATGAACAGTGGACGATTCGTCTTGGTGAATGCCGAACCCTCATTGCCTACGCCCGGTCCAGAGCTGACAAAGTCCACGGCAATGGTGATGACGAACTTGGATTTGATGGCCTGCACATTGCGCCAAGTACCATCACAGTAGCTGGCATTGTTTGGCAGCGTATAGTTGGTAACAATCGTATTCTTGGCATCGGACTTGACGGTGAAGCTGAGCGTGTTGTTAACCAGCTCCAGAATTAGGTACGAGTTCTTGCCATGCACCGAGAACAGTAAACCGTTTGGATCACGCGGTCGGAAGTCAAAGCTAATGGTAACTTCGGTGCCGACAGAGAAGCGCTCAAAGAGCTTCACATAGCCGCTCGGCTGATGGAAGTATAGGCCGTGCTCCACTTGCTCGGAGCAAGGGACCACTTGATGGACTATCGGCTCACTCTCCAATGCCAGGCCATTGAACTTGATGTCCCTGATGCAGCCATTGTAATATGATGTGGCGTTGCCGCCGAATTCGGTTTGGCGTTTGAGATCCTGCTCCAAATATCTGGTGATGCCGCCCACATAAACGGGCAGTTCAACCGATAAGTTGGGTGGCGTACGATCATTGTTCAGCTCCACAGAGCCCGCCTGCTCGACGCCATCTATGCTAAGGCTAATCTTGCGATTGGTGCGCACAAACTCGATTGTATGCCATTCGCCATCGAAAAGATCCTCCTGACTGATTATCTTTGCCTGGACGGTGGCACCAACGCTCACCTGATGGTATACACGCCCATCAGACAAATATACCGCTATGAAGTCATTCTTCTCCTGGCTTGCTGCGTAGAAGAGCAGGCCATTGGGATAGCTGGTGCGAATAGACATGCTGATATCGTAATGTTTTCGCAGTCTAACCGGTAGCGTTTGGAATTCAAGGCGCTGATCCTTGAGCGAGTAGAAGCGGTAGCCCGCCTCCACAAAGTCAACATCATAGTTGGGATTGACGGACATCTTGCAGCTGGGATCGCTGGGCAGATTGAGGATTGGTGGCGGTCGTGGTTTGCCTATCATTATCTTTGGCGTGGTGGGCGGACCCAGTGGCGGCAGTGGCTCCTTATCCCTTATTGGCGCTTCTTTCGTGGTCGCTGTTGTAACAGTTGTAGGGGCTGTCGTCGTCGTCGTCGTTGTTGTCGTCGTTGTTGTAGTTGTAGTTGTAGTTTCGGGTGGCGGAATCATAAACATGTCCACATTGTCATTTCTGAATGGTTTTCTAGGCGGCTCGGGCGGCTCCAGTTCGTTGGCTCCACTTGGGTAGTAGGTAGGCAAATATTTGGGCTCGTAAGCTAGGGGGGGGAGAAATGTGTGAAAACTACGACCAAAGATAGCAGAAGACGTTAGGATCTCACCTAGAATATCCTGAGGACAGCCATTGATGTTACCATTCTTCTTCTCAGCGCTGTCCGCAAAGTTGATAATCTCGCCGTTGACGGTGACGTCGCTGATGCAGCCGACGAAGTACGCGGTAGTGGAGATAGCCTCCTTGGGTGGTATATAATTATCTGGCAGTCCGCCAAAGAATATATCGCCGCCCTTTATCTCAAGAGGTTCTTTGATGGCCCGCCTGGCATAGAGCAATGTGCAAAGGAATTAAAACGTGCAAATTTATAGATTAACTGATTTGGCTAGCTTACCGCTTAGCTTCGGTGTCATCCACGGAGAGTCGCAGCTGATCGGCATCGTGATGCACAGTGATCACATGATCCTCGCCATCGTCGTACTGGCGACTGTCAATGGCCAGTTCGGTTCCCATGCTGCGTAGCGTCAGATATCCACGGTCCAGAGTGAGGCCAATGGTTGAGCTCTGGTCATGATTGGCGGCATAGAAGAGAACTCCATCGGGCTGGCGGGTCTTAAAGCGCAGCACCACATCGAAATTGTTGTCTGATGAGATATTGGCGATGCGTAGGAAGCCATACTCATGTGGTGGATATGCAAGCGATGTGGAGTACTTGTCGGGGCAGCCCTCAACCACGCCAGTTCCATTGACGTACTGCGTCAGATCGACTTTGTAGCCAGAGATGCTGACGTCATCAATGCATCCATCAAAGTTTTGTTCAACAATCTCGGAGTGATTACGACGACCCGGATAACCACCAAAGTACATGCGATTTAATTTGGGCATTTCTTCGTCAGCGCCGATGGGCGCCTCCTCTTGGAACAGCAGCACATCGTCCACCTTAAGCAGACCACGGCGACCGTCGCGCTCGGCCACGACACGATGCCATTGATTGTCGTTGTAGCGATCCTGACTGCCAGAGGAAACCAATGCATCACCCAGCTTGAAGCGGAAGAAAATGGCCCCCTCGACCAACTCTATGGACATGTAGTGCTTGTTACGTCCATAGAAGAACAACAAACCGTTTCTGGCATCCTTGGCGGCCTTGAAACGGAACTGTATGCTGGAGCGCGTCTTGAAATTGTACGGAGCTGCCTTCATTTGGACAAATCCGTTGCCCTTGAAGCGCAGACCAGTGACAGGCATTTGTTCCTCCAGCAGAATGTCGCGTTCGCGTGCGCCTAGCTTGTTCTCCTCACCATAGACAAAGTTCCAGAGGCCGACGTTCTCATCACCAATGCGCAGATCCTCAATGTCGCCGTTGAAGGAGGAGGAGGTAATGTCTTCGGGTGCAATGAAATCGGAGGGACCCGGATAGCCACCAACAAATAGGCGACTATTACGATCCACATGCAGCACATTGTTGGCGCCAACCAGATAGCCAGACTTGGTATGATCCTTCACCTCACCATTGGGCAGCTGCTCCCGTATGGTGAGCTTGGCATTGGAGCCTACACGATCCAAAATGGCCTGATACCAGTTGCCATCCGCCACATGCTTAGAGCTGGTGATGCGCTCGGGTCCATTACCCAAGTCAATGGTCATTATTGGATATCCATTAAATATCTCCAAGGCGACAAAGTCCGTATTCTTTTGGCTGGTCTTGTTATCGTTGCCCAGATAGAGGAGGAAGCCATTTGGTTCGTTGGTGCGGAAGAACGTCGACAGTTTTGTCTTGGTGGCCAGCAGTGGTGCCTTCTCGGGCGTCTTCAACTCCAGCACGGTGCTGGGCGTAAACTGTACGCCCACCTTGATGTTGTTAGCGGTGCGTCTGGCGGTCTCAATTTGACGTTTCAGGTGCTCAATGTCCTGGCCCAGCTTTTGGCTTCTCTCACTCACCAGCTGCTGCTGTTCGCCAATCTCATCGACCAGCTCATTAAGCTTGGGTATGGTTGTGTCCACGTTATCCAATTGATTGTTGGCCTGGGAAATCTCTTTGTTGGTAATTTCCACATCGCGACTGATGTTGCGCGCCTTTTCCAGCTCCTTGGGCGTTTGTGCACTTACTGGCTCAAGGATTTTCAGGACATTGTGCAATATGTCAAGTGCTTCGCTGGCAGTGCTATTGGAGCTCTTCCACATATCGCGCTGCGTTTCAGCGGGCAGTTTCTTAATCAGTATGTTGATCTCTTTGAGCTGCTCCTCCGTGGCGGCGTTCAATTGCGAGATGTCTTGCACTTTACTGGCCGAACCATTGAGTCGTGGCTCAAGATCATCTTGCACCGTGAGCAGAGCCTGGCGAGCCTTCTGCAACAGCTCCGCGGACTGAATATCAGCATTACCGGCACGCTCCTCAATGCCATCAGTAATCAGTGTGGCATTGCCTGCAGCGATCTTGGCATCCTGAGCCAATTGTTCCGCGGATTGCACGGCTTCGACAATGTTTGAGTAGGCGGTGGCTGCCTGGATGGCCGGATCAGCGCTTTGTGTCATGTCGGCATATTGGCTGGCCAGATCTTCGGCTCGCACGGTTAACTCAGCCGCCCGTTGCTCGGCCTGCTGTGTCAACTCTTCGGCCTCCTTGTGCTGCTCGTCGCGTTCCGGCAATTCCTCATCAACATCCTTATTAACGGTCTTGAGCACTTCCAGTGCACCGCGCAGATCCTCGAGTTTATTGTCAATCTGTCCCAGTGTCAGGTCACCATTGATGAGATAGTCGCCCGCCTCCTTAATGTTTTTCTCCGCCTCCTGCTCCTGCTCGGAGACAGTATCGAACTTGGAGTTGTCGTACGCCCGCTTGTTGGCCACATTCAGGCGCTCCACATCGCTGGACTGACGCTGCGATTGCTCGCTCCAGTTGAACAGATCCTCCAGCTTGTCGCTGAACTCGCCGATGTCATTCTTCAGTGCATTGAGACTTCTATTCTGCTGCTTGATGGGCTCAACCAGCTGATCCACCTCGTCATACAGCTGACGTGCCTTGTCCAGCACCAGCTCATTGGACTGCAGCTCGATTTCCGTGCCATTGATTTGGTTGAGTATGTGCTGGGCCTGATCCAAAGCTGCATCAATTTTGGTGCTAGCCGTGGCTTCCAGATTCTGCGACAAAGATTCGACGGCCTCAATGGCATCTGTCGCCTGTTGTACGCTTCCCAGCGCCTCCTCATACACGGCGGACACGTTGCCCAGCAGGACCCCGGATCTGTGACGTATATCCTGCGCATTGCCCAGTGTTTGGTTGACCTGCTTGGCATAGGCTTTGCTAGCCGACTCCAGCTCGCTGTTGAGCTTTTGCGACGGCGACAAATTCACGCTGGTTGGATCTAATGCCTGCACTTTGGGTACCAGTTCTTCCGTCAGCTCGTCGAAGTAGTTTAGCTTCTGACTGGTAAAGAAGGCCATGGTTACGGTCTGGAAATCCTGCAACACGCCGTCGATTTCAAAGCGAAGCTTATCAGTAACATCCAAGAGAGCATGATGACAATTGTTGCATTCCATGCAACCATCCTCAGTGAGAACCCAGCGGTTCGGGCACGCCTCACAGCGATCTCCAATAACACCCGGTAAGCAGACACACTGTCCCGTCTGCGGATTGCAACCAGTGCCCGCACGCGAGTAGCCTTGATTGCAGTTACATGGTGAGCAGCCTTCCTTCTCATAGTTCCAGTGATCCACAGTGCAGCGATCGCATTGACGACCCGTAACGCCCGGTTTGCACAAGCCTTTAACGAGAAGGAAGAGTATATACAATTAAACAGGTAATGACGATAGTTAAGGCATAATTACAGTGTCCCGTATGATCATCGCATTGGGTGGAGTTGGACGCAGCACCACAGTCGCAGGCGCGGCACCCAACGCCTGAATCGAATCCATAATGATCCGGCTTGCAGCGATCACAGCGCTCGCCAATTACATTATCGTGGCACTTGCATTTGCCTACAAAAGGATCGCATTCGAGGGTACCCAGCTCATCGCAGTCGCAGCTCTGACAGTTCTTCAGCTGCACTGCATCACCATAGAAGCCAGGCGCGCACAGATTGCAAGCCATGCCCGATGTGTTGTTCAGGCAACGCAGACATTCGCCCGTACGTGTGTCGCAGGAGCCCGACTCGTTGGGATTTATATTTCCGGAGCATTCGCAAGGCTTGCACACATCCCCCTGTGTTTCCGGTGAGCCATAGAAGCCGTTGGCACAGGATTCACAACGTGCTCCCGTGTAGCCGGGCAGGCAGTCGCAATGTATCTTGTCGCCGGACTCGGAAATCTCGCAGCCAGTCGCAAAGTTGTTGGAATCGAAGGGCAGTGGACAGGAGCATATTATGCAATCGTGTGGTGTGCCTCTGGTGGCATTTCCATAGTAGCCCGCCACACACTCCTCACAGTGGTCGCCTCGCGTCGAATGCTGGCAGTCCTTGCAGATGCCCGTGGCACAGTCGCAGGTGTCGGCATGGCCATTGCACTCGCAGGGTATACAATAGCCACCATAAGGTCCATTCTGATCACGATAATAGCCAGGTGCGCAATCCTCGCACGAGTGGCCGGTATAACCAGGCGGGCAGTGGCAGTGCTCGACGGCCAGGAACTGGTACTCGCCCGTACCATCGGCATCCTCGTCGGCCAGCGTCAAATAGACATCGGATAGCTGCGTATTCAGCGTTTGCTCCCAGTAGTTGGCGCGTATAAAGATCATCCTAAGATCGCGCAGAGCCATCATGAAGTCGGCTCGGCTAACGGACTTGCCCGTCTGTGTCTGGAAGTTGCTCTCCACCATCTGCAGTCGATTCTTAAAGGGCAAGTTACTGCTGGGCTGCTCGTAGCTCTGGTGCACGAGTATATGATCCTTGCTGAGCAGTATGACGTCCGGTGCGACAATGGCCTTGCCCACAAAGCCCGAGGTGAAGTATAGCGTGTAACCGAGATCGCCGCCATAGGCAGAAATGTGACTATTCTGATTGAGCAGATAGTCCAGAACACCAAAGTAGGCAACGCGCTGATCTTTCGCATCCCTGTAGGAGAAGTCCGCCTGCAGTGTTGTCTCATTCACAACCAATTCCTCCTGCGCTACATCCCAGATCTCAAACTCAATGCTCTTGTCGTTGAAGTCAGCCGAGTTTATGGTCTTGTGCTTCATCAGGCTGACATTGTATACGCGCAGATAGGCGCTATCGCAGCGAGAAGTCTTGCCAAAGCAGAAGCACGTGGTGCAGCCATCGGGATTGCTGTCCTGCAGATTGTATGTGCCCTCCACGCACTGATCACAATCGCGTCCAACCACATTCTTTTTGCAGAAGCAACTGCCATCGATCTTGTCGCACACTTCCAGCTCAGTGCCTGGCTTGTGGCAGCTGCATCTGCTGCAGCGTGGAAACTCATAGAAGCCATGGGCACAACCGTCACAGGCTCTGCCCACGATATTATCGCGACACTCGCAGGATCCATTGAACATGTCGCACTGTTGATTACCATTCGCTATGCCCATGTAATTGCAGTTGCACTCCTCGCAGCCAATCACCTGATGGAAGCCATAAGTGTGCGGCGCGCATCTATAATGAGGAAAATTGCTTGAGTTCTATATAGTTAAAAGGATATCTGGACACACATACTTGTCACACAAGGCACCGATGACATTGGGTGGGCACATGCATTTACCTGTGGTGGACTCACACATGGCAGTGCTGGGGCAATCGCAGGCCTTGCAGTCCGGGAAGCCTAATCAAACGAAAAATCGTTTTAGGAAATCGGGTTATACCTGGATCGCCGCAATCTCTCACCGTAATAGCCGGTGCGACAGGCCGTGCACTGGCGTCCTATGACATTCTTACGGCACTGGCACTGGCCACCAAATGGATGACACTCGAAGCTTGTGGAGCCCCCGTAGTCACAGCTGCAGGGCAGTGCGCCGTTGTTATAGTCCGCGGTCAGCGAGAAGACGGCATTCTTACAAAAATCGCTGGCATTGTGTGTAATGTGAAAATGATCCTGGCCGCAGTTCTTGATGAACTCCTTGGTTTGATCAAATGTCTCCTCCACCAGCAGATCGTCACCATATTGACCGACGGGCACCACCACCAAATAGTCCAGCCAAACACCCTGGGCTCGCGGATTCTGTTTGGATAAAAATAGATGAAATATAAATTAATAGCTCCGCCAGATCTCAACCTTCTGGGCTTACCGTCAGAGTGAATTTGAAGTCATCTTCAATGTCGAACCACCAGTCGTCGCCACTGGGTCGTATGACACCGCGACAGCCTGAGCTGGATGGGCAATGTTGTATGTCGAATTTGCCATCGTACTGATTCTTGCCAGCGGTCAGTGTGTAGAGCACCTGGTACTTGGGATGATTGGGCTGATAGTACTTGACCAGTATGACATAACGATGTGGCTCCGACACCTTAGACTCAATCACAATTGTGCCATCGTGTCTACTATCCAGGTGTACAAGCTTCACACGCTCATCGAAGGCGGCATAAGGCGGTTTGTTTGTGGCTATGCGATCTTCGTGATCCGTTTCGAATTCAATCTTCTTGGAATCGGGCACTGAGCGGAATTTTGGTGTAGCGCATTGCTTATCGTGTATGACACACACTGGACTTGGATTGATGTAGTCAATGGACCACTGCTCGACTGGTATGGCCGTCACGGAAATAATCGGTACGCGATAATCACCATCAACGTCCGCCTGTTAATGCAAATAATTGGATATAACAAATGGTAGCTACAATCCAGCCAAGGAGTACTCACATAAATGGTCACTGGCTGCAAGTCATCTTTGTTGATATAGAAGGCCTTCTCGCGTCCATCGTCATTGATGGGCGTGCGACAGACCGTGGAGTACAGACAGGGATACAGATAGACAGAGGATTGAGAATCTGGATCATTGCCCAGCCTCAGATTCACATCATAGGGCACCGCAAAGTTTCTATCGCTGATGTAGTCAATAACAAAGATGTAGCGACCACTGCGCGGCACATCCACAATATAGTTGAGCTCTTTTTGTGTGTTACTAAGCACAGGTATATCGCCTACATGGCTAACAATCTCCAAATGCTCCGGATCGCTGTAGACTTCGGTGGGATTTGTGGGCTTGTCATTGGAGCCAATAACGAATGGTGTGGTGGCCGGCTCGAAGACATCCACGGATGCGTATTTATAATGACGGCACAGTTCCATGTTGCCCAGCTCACAGGGATTGGCAATGTGGCGCGTCAAAATAGATGCCTCATAGTAGGCAGCGGGCAAGAGCACAAAGTAGTCCAGCATAACATTTCTATTGGCCTTGGTGGTGAAGTTGTAACGTCCAGGATCGAGAACCACGGCCGATGGCTTATTGCCCTTTGGGCCGGAGACGGTGACAAATTCTGGTTCGTTTGTCGGACGCAGGAGCACCTTGACGCTGCGTTTGGAAAAATATATAAAATGGGGATCTATACGGGTTCTACGGGAATGCTCACTTTTGATCAACCTCCAGCGGATTCTCGGATTGTATGAGTATGCTGGCCGTTACATTCTTCTCGTTTGGATTCATATACCGTATGACAATGCGATAGACCGAGGACTTGAACACCGTCAGCTCGTTGCGCACCTCGTTCTGTATGTCATTGAACACAGCATAGCCTTTGCTGCTAAAGTCTGGGAAGATCTCTTCAAGGTACTGATAGCGCACCTGGGCGCCCGATGGCTGTAAGCCGTCCTCGTACTCATACTGGAACTGATGTAGCGTGGGGAAATAGTGAGTGGTCAGTGGCTGCGTACAGGCGCGTCCCGTAACACGCGGATGGCAGCTGCACTGTCCGCTAATCTTATTGCATTCGCTTTTCCATGAGCCGCCCACATCGCAGCTGCAGTCCTTGCAGCCAAACAATGAGGAGCCATCCAGATCGAAGGTGCCATCCTTGCACTCATTGCACCGCCGGCCCGTGGTGTGGGGCTTGCAATGGCAATTACCCAACTTGGAGGCGCAGGTATCCAGGCCCGAAACGGTGCCGTCTATAAAGCAATCGCATTCCTGACATCCCTCCGGATTACTAACGGTCAAGTTCCAGTAAAGCGGCTTGCATTCATTGCAGATTCTACCCCTCACACGCTCCTTGCATTTACAAAGCTCGCCCACCGGTACCGAGCCACAGCCGGCGAATTGATCAATCACACCGGCAGGATCACAGTTGCAATCCTCGCAGGCGGGGAAGTTGTAAAATGATTCCTTGCATCTCTCGCACTGGCGACCGTCAAAGTTGGGCTTACTAAAAGTAAATATAACATAACACAGCTTAACATAACCATAGTGTATCATAGCATAACATAACATAACGTAATATAAGTTAACATAACCAAATACGTTTGATAGAATTGGGCTTACCAGAAGCAACCATCTTCATTACAGGTGACGCCCTCTGAGCCGTGCTCATCGCAGTTGCAGGCTGTTGAAGTATAAACCGATATAGATCTTGGATAATAACATTCAAAATCTTCACTTACGCAAGCACTCCGGGTAGTTATAGTAGCCAGCACTGCACATGTTGCACAGCTTGCCGGAGTAGTTAATCAGACAGTTACACTTGCCGGTGTTGTCACAGGTGCTTGCGGAGCTGCCCGTTGTGGAGCAATTGCATGGCTGACAGGATGGATAGTTGTAATATCCTGGCAAGCAACGATCACAACGTGGTCCACCAAAACCGTCGCGGCAGATACATTGTCCGGACTCCTTATTACAGATTTCCGACTCTGTGCCCTGGTGATCACAGTCGCAGTCTGTAAGGAAAGCAGGTTAGTCTTGGCTTAGGATCTAGGCTAGTCTGAAACTAGGTTACATACATGAGCATGTGGGTTCGTTGTAGTAGCCATCCTTGCAACGCTCACACTGTGCGCCGCCCCAATTGCTGAGACAGGTGCAATTGCCAGAGACCACATCGCAGTCGTTATTAATGGAGCCCAGCTTATTACACTGGCAGGCCTTGCACTCGGGGAAACCGTAATAGGATTCGGCGCACTCCTTGCACAGAGCGCCCGCGAAGTTCGTTTTGCACGGACAAATGCCATTAACAGCCTCGCAGTTGTAGCCATTGGTGCCATTCAGATTACACTCACACTCGCGGCACTGCGGATAGCCATAATAACTGGAGAGGGTAGAGGATTTAGCACAGTTCCACATAATATGGAGGGATTATTACTAACCCATAGGAACAGGAGTCACAGTTGGGTGGCTGGAAGGCAGCACGACACTCGCATTTGCCCGTCTCCTCCTCACAGTGGCCAGTAGAGTAGAAATAGTCGCAGTTACAGGCTACAAGCAGGTTTTAGATGGTTAATCCCATTGGGTTAATTTCCCGCTCGAAGCACTTACGACTGCAGACGTCCGTCTCGTTCCAGTACTTGCCCCTGGGTCGATAGTATTTTGGCTTGCACTTGTTACAATTGGTGCCTTCGGTATTGTGCTGGCAGTTCTGACAGACGCCGCCGCCATCATAGTGACCATGTATATCCAGCGATAGACCTTTGCGATTCACATCCTCATCGTAGATGCACTCGTTGCTGTGGCCATGGCAATTACAGGCTGTGAACATGTTTAGGCTCAGTCCCATAAGGAATTATATGAACGGAAGGCTTCAATACTTACGCTCGCAGTTGAATGGACGCGCATTGGTGTTCTGACGCCATTTTTTCTGCTCGAATCCTGGACAACACTGGTTGCACTGAATGCCGCAGGTGTGATGCTGGCAACGACATGCCAATATACGCACCGGACTAAGCGGATCCTTGACATCGCAGGTATCAGCATGACCATTGCACATGCAACGTCCACCAATCGATATGTCTTTTATCGAATAGAAATAACGCCGGGTCACTGTCGGATCCTGTCTTGCCACGGACATCAAATGACCCAACAGATTCTTGGTACGCAGCAAACGTATTCGCACATTGGTGGCACGCGTCCATTCCTGCAGCATAGTTGAGTTGAAGTAATTGGTGGCGGAAGGACGTCCGTTGAGCAGCATGACTGGTATCTCGCCATTCTCCAGCGGCACAATTTTCGAGTATTCCGTGGTGCAGATGACATCGTTATCGCGTGTTATTGGCTTGTACGTGTCCTTGCCAAAATATGTCTCACAATCAGCGGGCGTATCGGAAAAGTGTTGCCAGGGTGTCCAGGTCTTGCCATAATCTGTGGACTTCTCCAGTGTCCAGAGACCAGGACGCGGCGAGTTGCCCATACGTATGAACAAGTAAGCGACATGGAATTCCTGAAAGTTGGAAAATGAATAAATGAATGGAAGATTCTACTTTAGCAAAAAATGTATATGGATGCGCTGCTAATAACATATTTTCTGTCTTAACTGGAGACGGGCTTAAATTTTGATCTCCAAATCTTCTTAATTTCTTAACAGCTCAGGTAAGTTTCGGCTTGTAACATTTTTCCAAATTTCAATAAATCAATTACATTTTAAATTTACAATTGCTCTCTGCATTGAAAATATTGTAAGTCAATATATTTTCATATTCAGGATGTGAGCTAAATTTGTAATTGTTTAATTATGTCGACATGGATAACAATGTTTAGGGTCAAAGTTATTTATACTTTGGGGCTCAAATGATTTTAATTATAAGCTTCTTTAACTGTAAAATCTTCGAAGAAAATATGCGTTCGGATCTGCCATTTTTTGAACAACAGATTTGGTTTACAGTTTGGTTTTAAGTCAAATAATTATTGGAATTTCGGGTTTGAACCGTTTCGACTTAATTGTTGGAATGGATCGTCTCTTACCAGTCAAGTGTTTTACAGAGCAAGCAAATTCATTAAATTTTATTGGCGTAGCGTACACATAATATCTGTGTAGCTATGTCAATGTGTGTGTGTGTGAGTATGTCTGTGTATCTACAGAGCTTGCATGAGATCATTGAAGAGAATTAACTCCATGCTCTGCAGTATACTAAATTTATCTGCGTCCGCAGAATGTTTGTTTATTTTGTTTTATGTTTGCTTTTCAATTTGAATTCAATTGAAAACGAACCAAATGTACATATGTACATATTCACAAGGTATCAATACATACATATCTACCTATAGGTACATATGTGCGCTTGTTTACAGTTGTGATCTTGTGTGCTGGGCATGTTTATAAATTTGCTAGATACATAGTTTATATGTTAACTTTTTCACAGGGATATAGAAACTCATCTCAATTCTAAGATGGAATTTTGAAGCTATGGCGCGTGATCTTAGTAGAAGAATTATCTTAGTCGAGACCTTAGTTAAGCAATGTAAGTAACGACTTTAGTTGGGATATTTCTGAATATTTGTTATTCCTTAACATTTTTGAAGCTTTCAGTTTCAAGAAGTTTTAAGTGTTCATATTTCTTCTTAAATGCAATGCATAAATGCATGCTCGTGAGGAAAAGAATGTGCAGGCGTTGAATTTTCATATTTGTATAAGATGATCTCATTTCATTTCTCAACTACAAAAAAAGAGCCCCATGTCGAAAACATACATACATGTAGATGTAATGCTTAGCTATTCCAAAAGGCTTGCTCAGGCTATAAGCAGCTACAGCCACATGATCTGGAGCGTTTCCGTTGCAAGTGCGATAAGATGTGCGCAATGTGTGACCCCAAAGTTTTTTGTAGAGCAATTCAAGACATTTAATGATAAGCGTGGGCTGCGACTATACTAGTTTGTTCTTATTGCTATCAGTAAGAGAATATATCATATATAGTATATACAACAGAATTGTTCAAATACTAGGCAACAAGAAGCCTTCACCAATGCTTTATATTTTAAACATTTTTAGCTGCTTATCGCCACAAATATAAAAAAATAAAAACCAAAGAAGAGTCAATGCTCTGTGTGGCCGTTTCTAAGCGAGCATGTAAGCTGAGACAAGCCAACATAAATACATATTTGTACATATGTATGAATGTATGTATGTAAGAAAACTTGTACATAACGAGCTGATAACCCGCAACTCCAGAGGGAAGAAGCAGCAACGAAAACATTTCAACAGCTCAGCAAGATTTTTCGCTGTTGCTTCAAACTGAAAAAGCAACCTCGTCGTCGTCGTCGTCTTCGTCTTCGTCTTCGTTGCAGACGTCGAAAATGAAATGAAAACCCATTAAAATTGTTTTCAAAAGCAATCCGCTCACTAATTTTACGAGCCTGTCCGACCAAACGTGCCCCAGCCAATGCTCTGTCCCTGTCGTCGTCTGAGTTAAGAGCAGTTTGAGATGATCGAACCAGAACCGATAGGAACTCCAGACACAAAAACGATGCATTGACTCGTTTTTTGAGTTTCCGTCCCCCCCACACAGCACTCTTTTATTTTGGGCTACACCTTTCTTTCTTGGCTGTAGTATGTTGTTCTGATTGCTGTTTACCTGTTCGAAATTGATGGTCAAATTGACTTCGTTGAATTTCATGCCTCGGGACAAGGGTGGACTCTGCCACCAGGCCTCAGTGCCATCGATTGCATTCTCTGGCGGGTGATTCTTCTCCGGCACATTGGGATCACAATAGTCGCAGACCTAGAGAAGAAAACACATGTTATTATATAAAACTTCAATATTATGTTTAAAAATAGATTCGAAACACATGTGGCACGCGGGGACTTCATCATGCTGCACCAAAAAAACATCAAAAACATGTATGTATACTCATAATTATATATAGAATCTTATGGAGATGAATATGTTGAGATAAATGTGTATTGAGCTTAAATTTGTATCGTGTCCTTATAAAGAAATTGATCATCTCATCTCACCTGGCCTTGAATAACCGAGTAATCGATGTGATCATTCTCCGTATTCGCACCGACCAGCTTACAGTAGAGCTCGGGTCCATCTGTATCCTCGCCACATGTGGCAGTTGCGTGAATCTTGCGGCCAGTGGCCAGATTGAAATATGGCGGCGTTAGTTCGGCATTACACAGCGCGATAAGCAGGCACAGAGCAAAGGCCACGCCCATAGCACAGAATGGGGTCGCACGTAGCCCCATTGTGCTGTGTGTGTCGGCTCTTCACACTCCCTTTTGCACACACACAAATGCACAGAAACAATGAATGTCCTTTATCTTTGGTCACTTCCGGTTCACTCTTATGTATTCCACTTTCTTATCTTGGGCACTTTTTTGTTTCACTTTTTCGATTCTTATTTATTTCTTCCCAGAGCCCATCCAACCGCACTGGATGGCTCGCCGCGAGCAACTGAACTTCATGCAGTGAGAAGTTTTCCTCGGTACCTCAAAAGAAAAAAAAGTAATGTCTGCATCAGAAACTGACAGATTTGTTCGGCTGTTCGGCTCACCCGACGATCGTCAGTCGGCTGCCGGCGATCCCGGCCCATTTATTACTTCATCGCACAGCTGAGAGCTGAGATAATGCTTTCAACGTCGTTTGTTGTGCTTGCGTTATTCGTTTATTTTTCTCATTATTTCCAGTTTTGTTTTATTTCGCTCTCGGCTTGGTGCGATCGTGCTCTTTCAAGCGATATGCCGGCCGGCTTTTTTTTTACAAACTAAATGAGAAACTGAAAAAGAGAAGTTTGATTTTTCTCTTGAAAAACGATGGCCCGTTAGTTGAATGTCTATTATGTTAAACACAACGATCCCTGCTGTCTCGACAGTGCTGCCCATTTGTTCTTGCAATTACAGCATGAGCTGGTCACACTGCAACGAATTTGATTACGGACCCATGAGTACAATTAAGTAGTCGTGCGTATGATCAATAGCAAGTAAAGAAATGTCAATATGCTTAGTAAAAATATGCGTATGAATATAAATTTTCTGATTAACACCAGGTTCTGCTAAAGCAACAGTTATTTAATTGAACAGAGCAGCTTGTGTTGTTGTTGCAGTGCAAAATAACTAGACTGAAGGTGAATAACGGCTAAATACTCGATTCGCGCTGAGGCATGTCCAAAATGAATTGAAACTCAACCTACAATCACTAAAACTTGAAGTTTATTGCTAGAGCTATTAAAACGCCAAAAGAAACGGCCTGCGAACAGCCTGGTTTGAGTAGCTTTGAAAATCACGATCAAAATACTGTTAAAATTCATGACCAATGTATCCGAGAGTGCAGTCAACGGCAGCGGCGTCCGGCAGCTGTTGCCATTTGCTGACAGCGAACACGCGGTTGACTGGCCACAAAAGAAACTGGTTGCAACTGGCAACAAGCATGGCGACTCTTGCAATGACAAAAATAATCGCACTGATAAAGACGGCTATGAGTGTCAACAGTTTTTGGCCTAAATTTTACTCGTAACTTGTGCGCCGGTCACACTGTGCAGGCGGCCGCCCCATGGATGCAAACGAGTTCTGATGACGTAACACGCATCGTTGACTGCTTGTTGTTGTTGTCGATGCTGTTTCTTGCAACTCACGCAAATGAACGTTAAAGTGCCTGCCAAAAAACAAAAAAAAAATAAATAAATTGAATAGATATTTGTATATAGGTACATGCATACTTCATATGCACATATGTATGAAAGATCGATTGCAACATCAACGAGAGGTTCTTGATTTAATATCTCTGCTGGCGTTGCACATTGGTTCAATAGTAGTAAGTACCTCTCCAGATTTAAAAAAAAAGAGCATGTTTATTTACAAAATTGTTTTATCTTTTCAAACTTAATACTGATTGGTTCCCTAATTCGAGTGATAATCATTTCAATTATCGAGTCAATTTGGTGCGATGACTAGTGAGATTTTTGTTAGTCTTTTTGGGGCATTTGAAACTAGTCCAACCAGCCCCACTGTGCACGGCTGCCAGCGTTGGCGTCAACGTTCACCTGGCCGCACCGCGTTTCATTTATTTATTCGCGGTTGTATTTTTGATTTCGTGTTCAATTTGGTTCTAAGTCTCGGCGCGTGTGCATCGGCGCAGCTATCGTCATGGTGCTGTTGAAAGTGATCAAATATCTAGCGGGTTAGTGTGGCATTGCAGTGTATTTCTAGCTTAAAATCTATCTAAGCCCTTAAAATCCTTTTGTTTTTTACATGTGCCTCGAAAGGCTGCGTGGTTCGTGTCTGTAATGAGCTGTCCCAGAATATGAATTCACTGAACAAGATGTTTAAATATCACTTGCTCCAGGCGAACTAGCAAAGTTCAATTGAATATTATATAGTATTTAAGTACATCTACATTAATACCTGTTCAGCACAAATATCCAGTTATTCACAAATTGTTTCTTTTTTGTGCTTCAATAAATCTTGGCTCGCACAGTGAGAACATATAGCCGAGAATGGCAAACACATGTGTACATACATATGTATATAACCTTGTTCATCGGGTGGCTGCCACAGCGGCTTCTAGTGCCACCAGGTTGAGTGGTGCTTGCACAATCAACGATTGCCGTTAAGACTCCATCAATGGCTTTCGATTTCATTTTGAGTTTGCGAATTGGGCAATATTTTCTGTATAAAGGCTATAATTAATATTCTTAGGTTTCTTCCATGATACTTTTTTGTCTTATAACTTTAATCAGGCTTTGTCCCAATCGAACTGAACAAAAGCGTGGGATTTTCATCTTTAATTGATTGATAAGAATTCCCAGAATATATTCTTAATAAATTATGCATTATAAACATAAGTATTTGATAAATTTAGATTTCAATAGGCTTTAAAAAAATACCCAAAAATTTTCCATAGAACGTAATTCCCGATAGCTAGACAAATAACGGATAAGCGACAGAGCGAGAGAGAGAAAGGGAGAACTAAGAGAGCTTAGGCAAGGTCTCGTTGTATTATAAAAACAAACAAATCATAAAGTGTGTGTAAATGGAATAATTAATGCACACCTAGTAAAAATTAACATATGCGTTTGTAAGTCAGCCGTGACGTCACATAAAACGTGAAGATCGCTAGACTAAACAAATTTCGAGTCGTGTGCCTAATTGCCATACAATGTCACGTATGAATGACTTGTAAAAAACCCCATAATGAATGGTATACGAATTATGTATATTTGGAGTTAACACTAACTTTATTTCTAGGGGTAGTTTAGCCTGTACATATAATTATTCTTAGGTGCAAAGATTTATAAACGATTTTCACTTATAAATCTAAAAATACATTTAATTATTCGTTACGTATCATTGTTTTGCCAAAGTTAAAAACATTGCTGACAAAGCTCAGCATGGATGTGATCATGCCATGAGCATGCTTGGAACTCTTGGTAGTCTCTGCGTTGTTTCTCTTAATTTTATTTGTACCCTTTGACTTTTGAATTTCGGCACTGCTGAATATGCGATCCACATCTGACATAATCCGTTTTCTGATAAATTCGGCGCTAATCTCATTCATGCGATCATCTTCACTGCTGAATTCTTCCAGCGGTCTTCCATGTGCTACGAAAAGAGACACACTTTGAGTTAAGGTTCGTCTCAGTTTAATTCTTTCGGGCTTACCAATTAACAGCAATGCAGAGCTGATAAAAAACACAGATAAGAACTTGATGGGCGACATTTCCGTTTTCGACAATTTGCCAAATTCAACTGAACTAATCTGCAAGTGCAATGCCGAGCTTTATAAGTCTTCCAAAAGCCAGACGATCTACGTGATCTTGGCCGGAATGCAATAGGAACAACTTATCTGCACGTTTCTTCAAAATAATTATTTTATTTAATTTATACTACAAAATTTGCCCTATACAGTGTCTGCATACACGTTTAGATGTACATTTTTAGTTTAATAAATCTTTTTATTAAATTCGTTTTAAATTTCATAGCCTATAATATCGTTTGTACCCGTACATTTTCAGTTTCTTTCCTTTTTTTTTTTTGCTTTTTTTAATGCTCGTTTAATACCATACTGTTTACCCATAAATGCTTGAACATAGTTTTGTTATTATTTATGTCTTTTGTTTTATTCTTATCTATTACCATAACCTATAATGACTGTATACCCGTAAGTGCTGGAACATGGTTGAGCTTGTGATTCATCTTTATAAATTGAGTTTAGCTGGAGGCTCGCTTAGAATATCATTCGGCGAATCTTGTAGAATCTTAGGCTTTCTGGTCGTATGCTTGTACAGCTCATATGCATTATCCACTTCAGCATCGGCCAATCGTTCGTCCTCCACGCCCGGCCATTGTTGATATAGTTTCTCCTGTAGTTCTCTGTTGGGCTGACTTGTTGATGACACGGGCAGACTTGTCACCACGCCCACAACTAAGCTTAGCGCTGTAAAGTATCATAAGTGTAAGATAATCATATACCAATATTAGGTAACCAGAGTTACTTCTTTGACCTAAAAACTAACCAAAGAAAATTGTTAGACGCATTATGAGAGTCGATTGGTTCAGTAGATAATAGCTGATAAACTGACAGGCACTCTGAGGAACCCCACAATTTATATACATGGGCGCACTCGCATCAACCTATTGACCGGCTCTCAGCTGGGAGCTCGTGCGAAGATTATGCAAAAGAGTACAGCCGAAAAATGCTAAAAAAGGGGGCTCGAGGCGTCGTTCTGTCTCACGCTGGTCACAAGATTAGTGGGCAAATACGTTTGACGTCATTGGTGACAGACCAAAAAAAGTTCGTCTGGCATTGCCCACTGATCACCGCCCAACAAAGACTTAATTAATTATATTTGAAATACTGAAAGCCATCGCCTTTATTCACTGTCCGTTTTAATCTTTCTCATGCCCAAAGAAGATAGTCCAACGTTCATATGACGGCGTCTCCTCGCATATGTATGTCTCCATTGAGCAGTATACGTCACTATAGTCGCTGTAGTCTGTAAGAAACGAGTTTCGATTCTTAAGTTTTCGGTAGCAGATGTGAAAAAAAATTGATATGAATGATTGGGAGTGTTGTATACCCTTGCGGAAGGTATTATTATTTTTTCACAAACTGTAGAAAGTGATATTTTGGAATTCATAGCTTCTTCATATAATGTCGAATTAATTTATCTGTCTAGTGTTGCTTTTTTAGAAATATGTGTGGTGCATACTTGTTCGCTCGTTACAGGCAGCAACATCCATATGACATTTGGATGGGTATTTCCTTATGCAGCCATTTTGCTCATCCCAACGACAGATGGCGCTGCTTTCGTTCACTTTGCCGCAGGACATCTCTAATGGACAAGCTTTGACTGTCTGCTGGACATTGTGATCATCTTCAGCTCTGATCGCAGTGCAGACTAAACGAATAATTAATTAACTGATAGTAGACAGTTTATTTATGAATAACGTACACAGCACCAAAATGAAAAGGCGTAGTATGTTGATAAACATTACTGTCGCTCCGCAAAAATATTCTTAAAGTCAAACCGTACTAGAGAAGGCGCAATGCGTAACTAAAATGTCCACAAATAATTTGGTGTTCAAGATACTTTTTTATCAATTAACAAGATAAGATAAAAAATGTAAGCTTAGTATATAAAGCTGCATCTTTTTTTTATTGCAAACACTCAGGTGAAGATATGTGTATGTGATGTTAATGTGATGCATAGAAAATATTTGCAAGCTAAATAATCTCTGCTTGATATATTTATTTAAAGATTTAAGGTGGTGAACTCCAAATTAGAAGCCAATTTATATTTCTATATATTTTAATAGCTACTATTAAAATATTTAGCATACTATTAATACTATGCAGGCCCTCCCAACATGTTAAGCCGGTTTGATCTTATCAGGTATTTCTATAAAGTGTATACTCTATTTTTCTACTTGTGTACAGAGAGTAAACATAAAAGTTAGCATACTTTCATGGGATGTGGTTTGTGTCTTGACTAAGCCTATGTTTGCTTTTATTTTACTGCATAGTTTTGTGCGTTATTTGGATTTGATTGACTGCGGTACAATTTGGCATAGATGCCATTCTTGGCCAGCAGCTGAGAATGTGTGCCCTGCTCTGTGATGCGTCCGGATTGTATAACACATATGATGTTGGCGTTTTGCACGGTGGACAAGCGATGGGCTATCACAATGCAGGTGCGGCCGGAGCAGGCCGAATCCAGTGCTTGTTGCACTACCTGTAAAACAAGTTTTTGTTTGATGCAAAACTTTAAAGTGCAATCATAGCGTTCCGCTTACCCTTTCACTTTGCATATCCAAAGCTGAAGTAGCTTCGTCTAGCAGTAGAATCTTGGGATTTCGGACCATGGCGCGGGCAATAGCAATGCGCTGCTTCTGTCCACCTGAAAGCTGTGTGCCTTTGGAGCCCAGTATGGTCTCATACTGGGCGGGCAGTGTCATAATAAAATCATGGGCATTGGCCATTTTGGCAGCCTCAATAATCTGTTGCATGGGCACCTCGCGCGTGGTATCCCCATAGCTGATATTCTCTGCAATGGTCTTTTCAAAGAGCGACGGTTCCTGCGAGACAATGCCCAGGCGACGCCGTAGGGTTTTCAGCTCCATGTCGTGATGTATGCTATTCTGATCAATGAGCTGTTGGGAGGAATCGCGAAATAAGAATAGTTAACGATCGCTAATGAGATTGACTTACTATCTTGCCCTCATCCGGATCATAGTAGCGTAGTAGCAGTTGAACACAAGTGGATTTGCCCGAGCCGGAGGCACCTACTAGGGCAACTGTTTGACCTTGCAGTACATCTAGATTAAAGTCTTGCAGCACCGAGCTATCAGGCCGTGATGGATAGGCAAAATTGAGCTCGCGATAGCTAACGCCCTGCTCAACAACGTTTGACTTATAGATATTGCCATTACCATTCTGCTCGACAACTTTTGGAGATTGAATGAGCGGCTGGCGGTCAATAATCTCGTGCATGCGTGTGGCCGAGAGCAGTGCCGCGTTAAAGGCCGGTGTGAAGGCCAAGGATTGGGCCAAAATAAACAGGCCATAAAGCATTGTGTTGGCAATTCTAATTGTGGCAAAAGATTATAGATGACGAACTAAGATTCAATATGGACCAACTCACTTCATTATAACTTCAAACTTGATCCTGCCGTCGGCACACATAAAACCGCCATAGGTCAAAGTGACAGCATAGCCAAAGAACATGAGAGTCATGCCCAGAGAGTTGACCAAGCCTCTCCATTTCAAACGACCTTTAATTTGCAAACGATATCGTTCAACTTCTGCATCATAGACTTTGATCAGTTCCTCTTCTCTACGCAGTGCAGCCACAGTTCGTATTTGTGCGATGGTTTCCGTGGCTATGCGACTCGTTTCCTCCAATACAGTTTTCTCCTTTAGTGCGGATTTTTCACTAAACCTGGCCTCAAACACAATTGAACCTACCATGAAAGGAGCTGTACTCAAACAGACTAGCGCTAGCTCCCAGGAGTAGGAGAACGCAATGGAAAAGCTGCATATGAAATTCGTCAGGGCTTGTATAATGTTGCTTAAAGGAAACCCAATGGCACCCTGCACACTAGCCGCATCGCCCGCCAGACGAGCGGAGAGTGCTCCGACGCTGTTCTCCTTTTCGTCAAACCAGCCCATTTCCTGTTTCATAATGGAACCAAAGGTCTTGGAACTGAAGAAGGATATAAATCAGTAATAGAGTAAGGAGTAGTTAAGAAAGTGACCCACCGCATGCGTGTGGTTAGCCACACTCCAGCCAGATTATAGAAAAATGTCTGTACAAAGCAGAAGATGCCCACACAAACGCCAATTACCGCGGTGATAATGGACATGGATGAGCTGTGCTCCAGCACCGCCTCGTCCGTGGGCTCGGCCAGCGAGGCATATAGTTCCGCCAGCACAATAGAGAAGGCAGGCATGGCGCATCCATAAAGTGCAGCACATATGGTACCAATGATTAAAAAGCTCCATTCAGGACGTGCCCAGGCCAGGATACGAAGGAAGGTACGCGGGTAGCTGATGCTCGGTGCATTCTTAGCCTTGTCATCCTCTTCAGTAGTTTGATTGTTATTAAGATTAAGTCGCTTCATTTGAAACTCTGCATTTTTATCCAAGGATTTCAGTGAGTTCCTATGAAAATGTTCGACATCTTTGGATTGCTTGCGCTCCTTGGTCAGCTCTTCACTTTCATTAAGCAGCTCATCAGCGGTATCATCGTACTCGTGGGCAGCGACCATTTTATGGTAGTAGCCCTGCAGCTTCATGAGATCCTCATGAGTGCCCTGCTCCACCGTTTTGCCGTTCTCAATATAAACAATTTGATCGGCATGCCTGATGGCAGATAGACGATGGGATACGACTAAGGTGGTGCGTCCTTTGCAGGCCTTGTCCAAGGCGGCCTGCACAAGTTTCTCGGAGTGATAATCCAATGCGGAGGTGGCCTCTGCATGGATTGTTTACTGTAGTAATAATTTATGAATAATGTTTCGTAGGCTTACCGTCCAGTAGGAGTATTGTGGGTTTCTGTATAAGAGCCCTGGCTATGGCAATGCGTTGACGCTGTCCGCCGGAGAGCTGAACACCCTTTTCGCTAATATGTGTGTCGTAACCCTGGCGGAGAAAGAAGCTTAGACATTACCTAAGACTTCATTAAGAGGATTTACCTTATCCAGAGCAATGATAAAATTATGAGCATTGGCGGCCCTTGCAGCATCTTCGACCTCCTTTTGGGTAGCCTGCGGCTTGCCATGGCGTATATTTTCACCTGTTCATGAAAGAAGTTGCTTTTAAAGATTTTTTGCAGTTAAAAAAAGGATTTTTCACCTACCAATAGTGCCCTGAAACAGGACTGGCTCCTGACCCACTACAGCTATATTGGAGCGCAGCCAGTTTAAATTATATTTCCTAACATCTTCGCCATCCAGAAGTACTTGTCCGAATACCGGATCATAGAAACGTTGCAACAGCTGTATACAGGTTGACTTACCACAACCCGAGGAGCCCACCAAGGCCACAGTTTGACCTTCGTTTACTGTCACATTGAGTCCCCTCAGCACAATGATATCTTTTCGTGCGGGATACTGAAAGAACACATCACGAAACTCAATGTTGCCCTTCAGTCCGTAGTTGAGTATCTTGCCCGCCTTGGAGAGCGGATCAATGACAGACACGCGATCGATGACGTCATATATTGCGCTCGCCGATCCACGTGCCATGGCAAAAGTCTCGAGGAATGGTGAAGTGCGTGAAAGCTGATTGGCGCCCACAATTATGCCCGAGATCACAATCATTACAATTGCAGGCGTGTACTCTCGACCCTCTATGGGCATATCGCTGGCACGATCGTGTAGAATCAAATTGGCGCCATACCAGAAGGCACCGGCGCCCACTATGAACATCATGGCCTTCATGACCGTGTCGCTGAGTCCTGAGAAGGCGCCCTTCCATTTGCCAGCCTTAAGAGCGGGCTTGAGCAGATTATCATAGCGTGCGGACTCGGATCGTTCACCCCCAAATGCGACCACTGTGCGTATAGCTCCAATTACTTCCTCCACCACAGAGCTGGCGCGCACATAAGAGCTTTGCTCCCGGGCTGTCAGCTTGCTTTGGTACTGGGTAAAAAAGGATTAAATATATGCAGGATTTACATTTTGTACTCTCCACTTACATGCGCAACAACGGCATTTACCACCATGGTGAGTGGTATGTAAAAGAACATGGATAATGCCAATTTCCAGCCATAGACAAAGGATATAATTACGCTTATGGCCACGTCGCACATAATTGTCAGAAAATGGCCCAGATTCTCGGCAATGCCAGTGCGAATTTTTTCCATGTTACTTAAGTTCTTTGATTTAATATATGTCCTTTTATAAAAACCACCTATACCTACTCAGTAATGCGCACGGCGAAGTTTTGATCCTTGGCCATATCATGCCAGCCAATTTCCTGCCTGATTGTTGCCTTGAAGAACTCCCGGCGCATGCACACCGTTAGCTTAAGAGCTAGATGATTGAATATATTCACAAATGTCATGCCGGAAAATAACATCAAAAGGGAGTCGAGCGTCATGAGTATGCCAAATGAGACGCTATCCTTGCGCAGCTCCTCCATATTTTCCTCATAGCTAGCATTCGTGCTGTATAAAGGGGTTTAACAAGGCGAGGACATGGAATTGAGGTATTTCCGGGCCAAACTTACAGCTGCTTTCCACCGCCAAACAAAGGCAGCGCTTTGGTGCCCGAGCTGGTTCCCACGCCCAAGCTTCGATCGATAAACATAGCCACCAGCTCGCTATAGACTATAATAGCTATGGGAAAGACAAGGGCATGCAGAAGGGCCGCTGTAATAGCACAGCCGAACAGGAGATAGTCGATGCCGCGGGCATAGCGAAAAAGCTGTCGATAGTTCACTGTTTCCAATTGTGGTTGCTTCGATTTGATTTTCTTTGGTTCTGCCTGGGCTGCATCGTCACCATCGTTCATATTGGGCTCTGCCATTGACGTAGTTTAAGGCGGAAAACTTTCGCCTATAAGCATTTACCCTCGGGGTCAATTAATAGTTAGCGCTCATGTATTCCAAATGAATCTGTACAGCCAGTGGACATGCGCGGGTAAGCCTGGAGCTCGACAAACGATATACTTATATGATCTTTGGGTGGCTTTTTCTTTTCGATAAATTCATTAGCATTCCGGAATGACTTTTGCTTCAATTGATGCACAGCGTTTCGTGATTTGAGGGTTTTTTTCGCGTTGTACCGATTCGTTTGAGATGCGGCCGCGAACTGTGGGGTTTTTCACTCATGGGTTTGTCTTTTATCAATTTCGGTTCTATTTATGTTCAAATAACTAAAAGAGCGCACATCTGATGAGTGGAAATGGGTTCTGCGCTCACAGTTTTTATAATTTCTCTTATTTTATTTTAATAAAATTTAATTGGATTGATTTTTCTCAAGGTTCAGAATGACTTGAAAATATGCAATGATCATAAAGGTGTGCATAGTATTAAATGTTTCACATTATATGGCCAAAAAGGTCACTAGAGGTCGTTTAAAAAAATGCCTAAACATTTTTCAGAGCATTTGTAAAGAGTTAGCTGTTTGATAGACTGAGTGCCCTGTTATCATTGGGATATACCTTTATGGCATATATTTACATAAGTGCATGAAATCTTGGTGGAAGTGTGTTTGATAAAAGTCTTTTAGTCTTATCAAAGGTTGCTATGATAATATTTGTATATAATTCCAATTGTCGCGGCATTGGCATCTAATTGTCTTTAGTTTTAGTTGTATAATAAGTAGATGACATAAAGATTAAGCATTATCAGTGAGACAATAAGATTTTAAATGCCATATAAAGTGCATTTATGTAGTTTAAGACCGAACCCTAACTGAAATGTTATTTCAGTATTTGCAATCCAAAAAGTAACTGACTGATAAACAGAGGTTACAACTACTCAAATGAGGAAACTAAAGTCAATTATGAGACAAAGGGAAGTGTTCTTATTCGTCATATTGAAAACTAGTGGGTTATCGGGGCTATATTGGCTGAAACTTTTGGGACTTTCAGAAAACAATTGTATATCAAAAATTGTAGGAATGTTTATTGAACAATAGTTACGTGTTAAATACGACAGTGAATAAATCTTAACTTTGGTATAATAATAAAAAATTGCAATTCAAATCTCAATGATCCTTTTGGGTCCTGTGCAATTTGGCATAGACGCCACCCTGGGCAATGAGCTGCAAGTGTGTGCCATGCTCCACAATTCTGCCACCTTGAACCACACATATGACGTCCGCATTCTGAATCGTTGACAAGCGATGGGCAATGACAATGCAGGTGCGTCCAGAGCAGGCGGAGTCTAGAGCTTGCTGAACCAACTAGATTGTAGAGTTGACTTTGTTATTTAAGAATACAGTCGTAATATATCAGAAATTTACCCGCTCGCTTTGCATATCCAAAGCTGATGTGGCTTCATCCAGCAACAGGATCTTCGGATTTCTCACCAGGGCACGTGCAATGGCCACGCGCTGCTTCTGGCCACCAGATAGCTGAGTGCCACGTGCGCCCATGCGCGTATCGTAGCCATTGGGCAAGGAAATGATGAAGCTATGGGCATTGGCGCTCTTGGCAGCTGCAATTATCTCGACCATGGGCACAGCACGACGATTGTCTCCAAAGGCAATGTTCTCGGCAATCGTGCGTTCGAAAAGTGACGGCTCCTGTGAGACAATGCCCAGTTTACGGCGTACGCCATCCAGTGTTAGATCGTGCTGAATATCATCTTGATCGATGTGCTGGAGATAATAAAAAATCTTCAATAAAAACAGTTGGCGTGTCGTTGTTGATTACTCACAATGGTGCCCTCGTCGGGATCGTAGTAGCGTTGTAGCAATTGAATGCAAGTGGACTTGCCGCAACCGGAATGGCCAACCAATGCCACAGTCTGACCTTGCTGGACCTCCAAGTCAAAACAGTTCAAAATTTTTGCATCTGGCCGAGTGGGATAACGGAATTCGATGTCACGATATCGCACGCCCTCAAAGAGATTCAGTTGCTTAGCGAGCGTGTTCTTAATTGTGCCCATGGGCGACACAATGCGCGGCTTGCGATCAATGATTTGGAACAAACGATGACCGGCTACCAAGGCGGCGGTAAAGGCGGGCGTGAAGGCAAGCGATTGGGCCAGCATCATAGAGCCATATAGCAGCGTCTCAGATACTCTAAATAGAAGAATGCAATCTTGAGTATGCGACCACTCTTCGACTAGTAGGCAACCCACTTGATGATATCCTGGAAGGGCACCTCACCCCAAGAGACCAGAACGCCGCCATAACAGAGAGCTACGGCGTAGGCAAAGAAAGCCGAGGCTTGCATGGTAGAGTTAAGCACGCCGCGCCAGCGCAGTTTTTGTCTTATGAGAATCTCCACGTGCTGAATCTCCGCAGTGTACTGCTTGATGACCTCAGATTCGCGACGCAGGCCGGCAATGGTGCGCACATTGGTAACCGATTCGGTGGCAATGCGACAGGCTTCCTCCAGTACTAGTTTCTCTCTAATCAATGCATTGGACATCATTCTACGAAAGTAAAACTCGCGTATGTTGAGTATATAGAGAGTAGAGTATAGATGTTTACTCACTTGGCCTCGAGTATAACAGATCCAACAATAATCGGACAGTTGGCCAGGCAAAGCAGCGCCAATTTCCAATTGTAGTACATGGAAATTGATATGCCAGAAATGAAATTGGATACGGCTTGGATCATGCCGCTTAGTGGAAACCCTATGGCACCTTGCACACCGGCCACCTCACCAGACAAACGCGCTGAGAGCGCACCCACCGAGTTTTGCTCCTCATCGAACCAGCCAACCTCCTGGCTGACCATTGCCTTAAAGGTCATGGCGCGCATGCGTGTGGTCAGCCAAACACCAGCATAGTTGAACATATAGGTTTGCAGAAAGCAGATGACCCCAGTGATTACCGCAATGCCCAAACATGCCCAAGAGAGCACCGCAGTACGACTCAGCGCTACCTTCTCATCCTGCTCGGCGAGTGCAGCATAGAATTCGCCAAAGATAATGGAGAATGCCGGATAGAGACAGCCGACGGCTATGGCCGAAATGCCACCTAGTATTAGATAAATCCATTCGGGCCGTGAGATGCGCATTATTCGCGCAAAGGTTCTGAAAAAGTTTGGTTTCACCGCGGTACTTTTCTGCTTTTCCTTGTTGCTCTCCTTCATGGACCTGATAATGGGTTCATCGAACTGCACGCTGTTCTTTTGGTTCTTCTCAAAGTTGAGCGGACTCGTCTCGAAGGATTTTTCGTAGAGCGCTAGGCTTTTGCCTACAAAACATTCTAGCCTTAGTCTAATGCTGAAAATTGTTAATATTGTAACTCACGCTTGGCCTCATCTATATTCTCCTCCTTTTCCTGCTCGTCTGGCGCCTTAAAGTCTCCTGCCTTAACCATGTTATAGTAGGCGCCTTCTAAGGCCATCAGATCATCATGTGAGCCCTCCTCCAGTACCTTGCCATCATGTATAAAAACTATTTTATCTGCACTACGTATCGCCGAAAGCCTATGTGAAACCACAATGGTGGTGCGTCCCTTGCTGGCCAAGTCCAAGGCTTGTTGCACCAGTTTCTCGGAAGTATAGTCCAATGCCGAGGTTGCCTCTGCGTTGAAATGGGGTGGTTAAGAGCACAGTTCTTAGGACTGTTTCCAGTCAGGCGGTCTACTTACCATCGAGAAGTAATATTTTGGGATTCTGTATAAGGGCACGAGCAATGGCTATGCGTTGTTTTTGACCGCCTGAGAGCTGGGAGCCATGCTCACCGATCATAGTGCGGTAGCTCTACATGGAATATAGGCAAGGATAAGCCAGGCTTATGACTTGTGAGGCGTCACTTACCTCTGGAAGATGGCTAATAAAATCATGAGCACCAGCTTGTTGGGCAGCTGTTTCAATTTCCTTCTGTGTGGCATTCGGTTTGCCATAGCTAATGTTTTGCGCTGGCAAGAGTAATTTTCTTTTATAAATAATAAAATACAGAAAAGCTATATTCCATTTACCTATAGTGCCCATAAAGAGCACCGGTTCTTGTCCCACTACAGCAATATTAGAGCGCAGCCATTGTATATTATATTTGCGTATGTCCAACTCATCCAAAAGCACAGCGCCAAAAACGGGATCGTAAAAGCGCTGTAACAGCTGTATACAGGTGGATTTACCGCAGCCCGAGGGGCCAACGAGAGCCACAGTTTGACCCGCACGGATCTTGATATTCAAGCCGCGATGGACAATAATTTCGGGACGCGAAGGATAGCGAAAGAAGACATCCTGAAACTCGACATCGCCACGCAGGCCATAGTTCAAAAGTTTGCCATCTGTGGACAATGGATCGATTTTCGAGGGCAAGTCAATGACCTTAAACAGATTGGTCGCACAACCACGCGCAGTCGCAAAGGACTCGAGAAAGGGCGCCGTGCGGGCAATGTTATCCGCGCCCACAATAATGCCGAAGAAGGCCTGCGAAGAAATGGGTAGTTTAATGGAGGCTTTCTATAGTTAATATTTTGTCAAACCCACAATCATCAAAATAGCTGGTGTATATTCTTTATCCTCCACATAACGATCGTCTAAAATGAGATTCACGCCATACCAAAATGCGCCCGCACAGGATAGAAATAGCATGGACTTCAGCACCGCATCGCTTACGCCGGAGAAGGCGCCCTTCCACTGACTAGCCTTGCGTGCGGGCACTAGTAAGTTCTCGAAACGCTCCACTTCCTGTTTCTCGCCACCAAAGGAGACCACAGTGCGTATGGCACTTAGGATCTCTTCCGCCAGATTACCTGCGCCTGCATAAGACTCCTGTTCACGTGCCGTCAGCGTGCCTTGAATCTGTGCATAGAATGAGCTGTTAGTGTTGAATGCGGGTCAAGGCACGTGTTCTTACCTTGCCCACATAGTAGTTGACGACGATAACGAGTGGTATGTAGCAGCTCACGGCTAGCGTCAGCTTCCAGCCATAGCCAAAGGATATGCCAACCGTTATGACAAAGCCCACGATTAAATAGAGAAAATGGCCCACTTTCTCAGATATGCCATCGCGGATCTTTTCAATGTCGCTTTAAGGAAATGGCATGCGATATAAAGTTACCTTTCGGTCCATCGGATGGGAAACAAAAAAATAGTCATGCAATCTATTCTTTCCAATTTCCCACATTTGGTGACTACAGTTCCCAGTTCTTAAGGTTTGTGGCAGTTATTTAGTCAAGCAGTTAGTTAGTCGATTGTCAACCAGTTCTAAGACACTTTTAAACTTATACATATTATCTATAATACTTACTCCGTCATGCTCTGGACAAAGTTCTGCTTGGTGGCCAGATCATGCCAGCCAATGTCCTGTCGCATAACCGACTCGAATAGTTTGATACGCATGCGTGTCACCTGACGCAAGGCTACAAAATTGAATATATCTACCGAAAATATGCCCGATATGAACATGACCACCGAGGTGATGGTCAGCAGAATGCCATACGAAATGGAGTCATCGTAGAGTGCTTCGTTGTTCTCCTCGCGTGTAGCATTGGTTCTGTTTGATAGAGATTAGGTTTCAACTTAAAATCATCATCGCTGGCCAACATCGATACTCACAATTTCTTGCCGCCTCCCAAAAGGGGCAGGGCATGTACCGTCGAGCTGGTGCCCACTTGCATGGCACGATCCACCAACATGGCAGTAAATTCACTATAAACAATGACCACGGCGGGTAAGGTGAGCGCTTTGATACAGCACATGATAAAGCCAATGAAGAGCCAGAAGAGTTCACCATATGTGGAGAAGCGAAACAATTGCCAGAAGCTAATCGGGGGTGTGGGCTCTAGGCCCGGGGCCACTGGTATTTCTTCCACAGACTTCTCATCGCTCGTCGTGATGGACGCCTCGTCGCGATCCCGATCCATAACTGTAACTGACAGTGGAACAATTAAACGTGCCATAAGTATTCAACAGGCCATCGATTTGAGCACCAAGATTTTTTTGTATGCACTACAACAACCACACTACATTTGCTAGAGACGTACAGACGCCAAAAAGGTTAATTTAATTAGGCGACAAATCGAGAATCATTCCAAGTCGCGTTGCAAGATTGTTGTTGCCCTGTCATTTCTGCTATTGACCCCCGGGGTTAACAAGTGAGGAGCCATATCTTTACGTAAATTTTCCACAGATTGTTGCATTAACATTAACACGAGCTTGCTCAAGGCTCATTTACTTAAAAACAATTCCCATAGAACATATTTCTTTTATTGATTTCCTTCAATATCCCCTTACGCATGTTCACCTTTGGCACTGTGCTGTATCCTTTGGTATTCGTTCACAATTTACTCCAGTTTAGTTCTTACAGTTGATGACCGCTACACACGATCGCCCCAGCGCGACTGACTGCAGATCGTTTGGGTAGTGTTCATTTAAATTTCTGAACGTTATGTTGATTCAGTGCGTTCCTGGCTTTAATTGATCGTACTCGTAAGAGTTTCGATTGGACTTGCAAAGAGTTCCACAACTGAGACTCTGTTATCTTAGTGATCTTTAGATTGATCAGCTCTTATACTCATTCTCTTATACTCTTCTGCATGCTACTAGCTGTGTGAAATCATTAGACTCTTTCTCTGTTTATCTCGGTCTCGATTTTCTCTCGATACCTACACATGCTCTTATCACTTTCCATAGGTTATGTGCATAATACCAATGTTTTCTCATCAAAATCTAGAGGAACCATCACCCAACCCCTGTCTTTTTGTTGGAGTCTGGGGTGTCTACAATATCGGTAAATGTTTTTTGTTGAATTTCTCGGAAACTTCCTCGAGTGACCCAAATTAATTGTTGTTTTCTTAATAAATGACCATGACCTTTAATATTACGTATTTTTATTGGATCTAAATTTTTATTTATAAAACATAGCTGATGGTACATCAACTTATTTACAGTTTATATAGTTGACAGTTTAATAGTTGACCTATATGTACATATATATGTATTTATTTATATAGATATATTGCAGAATTGTTTTATAGTTTATATATAACACTATAAGACCTAAAAACGTAGTTTGATAAAAATCGCATATCACATATTGTGTTGGTTTATATTTACACTGCCTACACGATAGGGATTTTTAATAAAAGTAGTTGTTATCATGCATAAAAGTACTTGTGTATCTAGTCTAATATGGCAAGTGCCAAAGAAATTATAAGAAATTCCAGTTATTATTAGGTAACATTTATATATACACGGACATCGCTTCATAACGAGGACCGTACAGCTGAGTTACGAGAAATAGATATAGGAATCCATAATGTGCGTTAAGTGGAAGTTATATCTAAAGAGTGATATGTGGTACTCTTGTTAAACACGATCTATACAATATGGTGAAAGTTGTATGCGTTCTTTACAATGTATCTCAACTTGCTTAGAACATTTCTTTGACAGTTACTTTAAGCTTAAATCAACTATGCGACATTCCGCTTACTGATCTCTTAAAGTTTCCGAACAACTTTTCATCAATTTGAAGCTAACATAATATCGTAGAGATGGTTCTGGGTGGCGTTACGCCAAAATATTAAAGCCTAAGTATAGTATAACTATGTTTAACTCTGTTCAAGAAAAATCCGCGTCTAAGCGGATCAGCTGCTTACGGCCTAACTAGCCAAACATTGCGGCTATAAACAATTCCTAGAAAGCTATTCATCCATAACAATATAATCGATGCTCACACATAGACCTCGCCCGTTTTGGGCTCTGGCTTGTGCTTGGCTAGCGTTGATGGCGCTGAGGAGGCACTCGCTGTGCCGCCCACCATGCCGGCTACATCCTTGCCCCGAAGCGGAGGTATTGCTGATGCGGCATCCATTGAATCCGTTGGACCAGCCGAACGCACTGAGGAGCGCTGGAAGTTCGGATCCTGCAGATTAAGGCTGAGATTGAAGCTATTGTTGCGCGAAATATTGGCGGGTCCGTTCAGCGACTTCACTGAGAGCAAAGCCGTTGTGGTGATGCCACCGCTGCCGTTGCTGGAGCCGCTGCTGTTGTGGGCATCAACACTGTCGCCGACTCCGCCCAGCTCTACAATGGATAGGTTCGAAGGCGTGCGTTGAATGGAAAGGGAAACGGGTATCGTGGTGATCACATCGTTGGGATCAAAGCCACTCGCGGTGGTTGTTATTGTGGGTAACTGCGCATTGGCGGTCAGCGGCACAATGCTCAACGTGCCCGTTGGCATGGACTCCCCGGCGCTGGTGGACACGGTGAACGGAAACGAGAGTGTGGTTATATTGGTTTCCGTTGGCATTGCTGTGGAATAAACGGAAATCAGAGATCGGTACTCAGAGTACTCGGAGTCGACTTACAGCTTGCAGTATAGCCATCCGTCAATCTGGTCGGCATGACGGCTTGGGCAAGCGCTGCTGTGGCTGGATGCCCTGGAATCAGAGTATTATTGGATGATGAGCTATCCATTTCTTTGATGGGCGACAGCAGCAGTGTGCCCAGCACCTGGCCGCTGTCCTGGTGCAAATTGGTGCCGCTGGCTGTAGTGCTGTACGACGGATACATGCCGCTAGTGCTTTGGGTGCTCAGCTGTTGTGGTGCCATTATAACGGCACTGGTGGCTACAGGGTGCAATTGTATTGGTTTCAGCTAAAGTGGTGCAAAATCGAACAGACGACTTACCCGTATTGGTGCTACCATCCTTGGTTACCTCCGGCGTGGGTATGCGTGGCCGTGTCTTGGCCACATTAATATTAAGGCCATTTAGCTTGGAATCTGTGAGCAAGTGTTGTGATTAAATATTTCTTGTGTGCAGAAAGCTTTAAGCTTACTTTGCTTGATCAGCTGGCGGTGTGCTCGCAGCGACTTGCGATGCACAAACTTCTCGTAGAGACTTGGTTTGGACTGCTGCGAGCCAGGCGGCTGTTGCTGCTGGTTTTGCTGCTGCTGCTGTAGTTGCTGTTGCTGCAGGATTGACAATGGCATGCCAGATTCGGGACTAGAGTACACAGAGTTCAAGCGGTTGCGCGTAAAAGGCATGCCGCCCGAAGAGTAGGCCGTCGACTGGCTGCGCATGGAGCCCATGCGCGACAGCTGACGTACCAGCCAATTGTTCTTGCGCCGCTCCACCATGGGCGTGTCCACGCTCTCCTGAAAAGTCGAAGAAAAGATTAATACAGATCTGTTAAAGGATTTCTCAAAGGTCGCACTTACATAGTCCGCATACACATCATCGCTGAGCATGCGCTTGCCACCGCCTGGTATTATGTTGGCATACATGGCATCCTCCTTCTTCACCTTGTAATTCTCCGCTGAGCCCTTCGGCTCGTCGCGTCGATAGTGCTCTGAGGCCACGGTATAGGGCAATTCTTTGGGCACCACACACTCCCAATACTGATCTCGCAGCAGTTCCGGATGCTCCTCGTGCATCTCATCCACAATCATGTAGGCGGCCTGTAGAAATCGTATAGAAATTAGCGCGTGCCAAAAATGATGAAAAGTGGAGCGGTCAGCGCCATTGTATGGTACGTGTTTGCCATTTCTGATGATGCCACTCTTTAATGTCTGCCCACAAAAACATACACTTCAATAAAAAAAAAAGAAACATGCACTAAAAAACCTAATTACATCACAAACACGAGCGGCCCACTCCCCACTTCGAAAACCAATGAAAAAGTGAAATTTTTCTTGTCTTTTAATTGTTTCATAATGCACGAGCAAAAACTTATTTAAACAATATTTCTCAGTGCTCTATTTGCCAATGCCTGATTTGGCGAACTCATTGTCAAGTGTCACGTTTTGGTGTGTGAGCCACGAGAGCTATTAAATGCTTACAGTTAAATAATTAACTATTCATTGGCCCATTTGTTCTCATCCGTGCCAATTCTTGACCAAATGATTTTCAATGTAAAAGGCAAACTCAGAGCAGAGCTGATCATAACAAACAGAAAAATAAAAACATCAAACTCAAAAACAAAACAGTCAATGATAAAAAGCTCTACAAAAGAGGTTTCAATGTTTTTTTAATTTTTATTTTTATTTTTTTTAACAGAAAACCTGTTTTCAATTTACTTTTGCCAATGTGTGTTGTAGTTGTGTTTGTTGTTGTTGTTGCTGTTGTTGCTGTTGGTGCTGCCGTTGGCTTTGTAAATAATTGCAAGCAGCCAGCAACAGCAGACCCCAAACTCAGAGATATAGCCGCACATACATATTGTTTATACACATATGTATGCACATTCGTACTTATACATATTCTACATATGCAAAGCCCTCCTCGCAAAGCAGCAAGTTCAGAGCCCAATGCAAAATGCTGCAAAAATACATCTTTAGTAACAAAACGCCGAACCGACTTACTATTATACCCTACTTGAAAATGCTATGCTTTTTGGTTTCATTCGAGGCTTGAAAAATGTATTAGATATTATTTGAGCGTGAGTTAGACAAACTGTATACTGTATGCTCTACAATGCCATATAAACATATTTAAGACTCCGGTAAACTTTTATTCAACTTTCTACCTACTTTAAGTTTTTTTTATATAATCTTCAAGCTTCAGTTTTGTCAAGTTTCATCTGAGTTTACAACATAATTTATTATATTACGAATTCTCTGTGCCTCGCTTTCAGTAGGGTACTCATTTAGTCGTCATGACCGTTGGCAAACTCCATTTACCTTTGCTGTCATTAAGTATTAAGCGCCTTTTATATTTAGTTTTCTTCCTTTCAGCACAAAAAACGTGGCTGGCTCAAAAAAGTTTATTTTTTTCCATCTCCATAATTATACACATATCATGCTAACCCAATTTTTGGGGGCATACAGGGTATTAGACAAAAACTCTGACAGCTTTTAACAGTGGTTATTTTAGTTGATAATAAATTTGAAACAAACCTGACAAGCGTACGGCTGATTTTAGTATAGTCAGCTATTGGTGTTTTATTTATTTAGGTGCTAACTAATTACAGCCTACATATTATAAATTTTAAAGAGATGAGTTTTTATATATACTCTATATCTCTGTAGAGATGAGTGTAGATCTCTTGGCACCTGTTTATTGAGTATTTCTCATTAAAAATTAAACCCATATATATGTTAGGCTATATTTATATATATATATATATTTATTAATTTTTTTGGCAAATTCACGCTAGATATAATTGACTAAGGTTGACACCAATTTAAAGTATTCCGGTTTTTCACCTTAGGGTATTTTTTTCTGCACACAGTTTCTGTGGAATGGGGAAGCTATAAATGTTTTATACGCTGGAGTTGTACGATTTGTCATACAAATGTATATATCTTTTTATAACTGATGTCTAGAATATGCTTTACCCGAACAACCATTAATTGTATACATAAAAGAGGATGGATTATCTGCTTA